AACCATTAAGTGGTCTAGCCCCTGCTGAAGGGCAGGGCCTGCACAAGGGTGTACCTTCAAGAGGCCTTTAGTACTGACTCAGTGCACTTCAGTTCAAATCTGAAAAGGCCTTAAAGCTTGTAGAACTGGCTGGTGAAGTTACCAAACCTAACCGAGAGCAGTCATCATATAGGCAGCCCCCCTTCTCCCAATACTACATCAAGTTCAGACATAGGCACGGAATTATGACTCAGTAACAGTGCTTTCTTTAAATCCAGTACAGTAGAAACTACTTCTACAAACATTTATTTCATCATTACTAGGCTTATCACATCCCTATATATCGGCCTGTCGACGAAAAACGATTTTCTCAACTGTAACGATAAACACAGTTCTGTGTGAAAGTCTGAGCCATAGGTAAAGCCATTGATCTGAGCAGTAAGCACTTATTTGTTATTTAAAATGAAAACAATAAGGTAATACTAATAAACTAGTAAACAATCTATTAAAACCCTGGACTTACAGTTCCAATACAGTACCTGCTTCAGGTAATCAACACATCATTTAAGGGCCCATTATCCTACATTTTCTTGGAGGCCCACTTCTAAAGTCTGTATAGTTTTAAGGACCAAAACAGTTGTAATTAATATTTAAATGACTGTTTTCCAACCTCAGTTTACCCTTATGCCTTTAAGACTGATATTTGTAGATGAGCTTGGTTCTGATTGGATGCCCTGCATTGTGCCTTATTCACAAAGAAGTCCAGGCTAAAACACTCCTTAGAACATCAGTGTGAATGAGAGGAGCTGAATTGCTGTAGACTGAGAAGGTGGATATATGTAGAGTTGCGTGCAAAAGTTTGAACACCCCCAGTTAAATTACTCTTGATTTTGTAAGTGAAAATAAGTTAACACATCCTCTATAGAGAACAGACATAAAGATGACACTTGTGTATGTGCACAATGTCTATTTATTTAATATATTGGGAAAAGACAAAAGACAAAGCATAAAATATAAAATGTGCCATAACTTTTGCACAGGACACGTGTTACATTTTTTCACCAATATGTTAAATTCAGCAAACAAACACTAAGTGTGTTCTCTGTACAGGATATGGTAACTTATTTCCACTTAGAAAATCAACAAAACATGTAAAATGACCAGAGGTGCTTTTCAAATGACATATGGGCCATTTATATTAAATCATGTGTGCGCTGGTGGAACTGAATAGACCTATGCAATGGCTGGAGTGCAAACAGAAGTCAGGAATCAAACTTGGGTTCTTCTAACTGTATTCATCCAACCAAGATATTAATAACTTTTTTAAAAATGTTCTGTTGTTTTTGTTCTTGTTATGTTTATTATAAGATGTCCTGATCCAGTTCTTTTTCTTTCAATCCAATCAGAGAACTCTGATGTTGATTACTAGCCAAGTCTGATCCAATGTTTGTGGTTTCATAGACTGTTTACATTGACATTATGATCCAGGTGGATTGCCCCCCTGACAATTTGGCTACCACTTTGATATTCTGCAGTTAAATCACTTCATTTTGAGATGTGCATAGTGGTACATGTTCTGAACTTGAATCATTTGTTATTACTGTTGACTACTAATGTAGTCATTTTATAGTGTCATGAATACACTGCTGCAGACAACCTCTTTTCTTTGTAGGCACTGCCCAGTCACCCTTATCGCTTGATTTATTCACTCTCACTTTCGTAGTTTGAACCGGTTGTAAAATAATCACTTATCTGTTATTTCAGTTGGTTTATGCTGTCTACTGTTGTTGCTGTTAACCCAACTGAGGTCATTCAGATATTGGGCAGTGTAAGGGCTATTTTTTAACGTTTTCAACAAATACACTTAAAAAAACATAATGTGTCAAGTTACGGAAACTACAGAATACAAACAAAATGTTGTAACTTAATTATGTTAATATCTTTGGCAGTTCTGCAAAATAGGATGTAGCAGTGTTGCAACAGTCCTCCAGGACTAACTGCAGACCAACGTTTGCTTTTTTTTGTTTCGGAACACCCCAAAATACACACACGCACGCACGCACGCAACGCACGCACGCACGCACGCACGCACACAGAGATCAGGCATCCACCTCCTTGTTTCTACACTCATTGTCCATTTTATCAGCTCCACTTACTATATAGGTGCACTTTGTAGTTCTACAATTACAGACTGTAGTCCATCTGTTTCTCTGCATACTTTGTTAGCCCCCTTTACCCTGTTCTTCAGTGCTCAGGACCCCCATGGACCCTCACAGAGCAGGTACTATATGGGTGATGGATCATTCTCAGCACTGCAGTAACACTGATGTGGTGGTGATGTGTTAGTGTGTGTTGCGCTGGTCTGAGTGGATCAGACACAGCAGTGCTGCTGGAGTTTTTAAACACCTCAGTGTCACTGCTGGACTGAGAACAGTCAACCAAACATATCCAGCCAACAGCGTCCTGTGACCACTGATGAAGGACTAGAGGATGACCAACACAAACTGTGCAGCAGCAGAAGCGCTACTGTCTCTGACTTTCCACCTACAAGGTAGACTCACAAGGTAGAAGTGTCTCATAGAGTGGACAGTGGTGGACACAAAAAACTGATATAAATCTAAAATTAATGATGTCTTCATATAAAAAAGCAGCTGTCATACCATGAAAATGGAAGCAAAAATTCAGTTGGATATGGAAACAAAAAGAACATGATTAAATTAATAAAGGGATTATGTACTTTACATTAACTGGATATAAGGGCTTAAATGATTCACTCTCAGCTATGAAGGGCTAATACTGAACAAAAAAAAAAATCCACGATGACATTATTACAATTGTCGTGTCAAACACTGGCGACACGCTCATGCTTAAGTCTGAGAAAACGTGGGAATCATTCGCTGCGTGTCTGACTGTCCTTTAAAGAATACCGCCATCAAAAATAATTATAGGTATTAGCGTCCAAAAGACTTCTCTTTTACTTCTCGTCTCTGGCTGTACTTGAGCTGACACCCTTGCTGCTCTGTTTTCTCTCAACGAAAAACAAGAGAAAACAATAGCTTAAAAAAAATAAACAAAAGAAACATGTGAACACGTGTTAACAAAGGAATGACTTGTATGTCTTTTGATCATCTCTCTGTCTGGAGAAAGAGTGACAGTAACAGAGCTTTGATTAGTGAGCTAATAAAACTGTCATATCTTTAAAACGCACAGGACGTACGGTGGCAACCGCGGGGGGAGAAACAATACATTTAACATCTGTGATTTCGTCAGCAATCAGTCCTTGCCAAGGTCTTCAGGAGGAATTCAGACAAGGCCATAATGTACAGCTTCGTGAGCAGTGAAAGACATCCTAAAGAAAATGAACTTTCGTTCAGTACGTACAGTACAGTAGAAATAGCCGTGTGAGGAACACAATTAACAAATAATTATGACCTTAGCAAAATTAGGTCAAGTTTTTCAAAATGCCAAAGGTAAACTGTAATTTTGCTGCAGTTGGAAGAAAACCTGTCTTTCCCCTATAAAGATACAACCTGTGAAAGGAACACTTTGGCAAAAAATTTAATTAAGATGATTTATCACTTACCCCAGTTGCAGTCAATCAGCCTAGACATGATTGATATCTGACATCTGCTTCTTCACTTTACAGCAGGAAATGCTAGGCTAACAATGTTAACAAATGCTGGAACTGGATTGTCACCAAACTCAACTCTGTAAATTTTCTTTGCTTTGAAAATCGATCAAAAATTTACATTGTTAAGTTTAAAGAAAAAAGTGTAAAACAGCACAGATCTACCTTATTTAAACATTTAAGCTAAAATTGGAACTACCTTATCATCTGCATAATGCCTTGCTTTGTAGTGCTCCTCCGTCACTACACAGATGTCACATAGCTAAGACTGCGTAACTGTAGGCCAGTTGTCTAGATGTTGCAGTTCAAATAACAACAAAGATATAACACAAGGTGTTGCGTTCTATTTTGTATAAACAGTAAACAGAACAAAGAAATCCAGGTGTAGTCCAGCATATTACCATCGGGTCCCTAAAGATAAAAAACATGCAATCTCTGGCTTTTGGCAATGAACCACAAACTAGCAAAAGTGTTTCAGTCTCATGAAAAACTTTGTGTATGTAGTGATCATTTCTCATCTGACAATTGCATGAAGGTCACCAACAGGATATCCTAAAATCTGCAGCTGTCTAAAGTAAAGTGCTATGAATGATAAGTGGATTTAAGGTGTGCTTTGTTTACTTTTCTCCCTCTTCGCTGTCTGTTTTGTGCTCACTAAGACACTCATGCCATGTGCAGCTAACTTGCTTGACACACATTGCTTTATGTAGTTTGATTGTAGAAATAAACATCTTTTTTATCTTCAATGCCAATTTGTTCAACTGCTGGCATCAACCTCTCCCACTCCCCACAGCAGAGACACTCAATGTACCATGTACTTCATCAATTGCATTGACGGCATTCTAGTCACTGTAACAGTGTTAGCTTTTTTGTCAGAGCCTTCTATTCAGCAAACTGCTAAAAAATGTATTATGACAATTCATGATTTTTTCAAATAAAAGAAACATAATTGTGGTACAGGATCACTCAGAGCAAAAGGATTTTAGTGAGTCAGTTAAAAGTCTGAAATAGGTTTTCAACTCTGGCTTTGAAGCAATTTGGTAGAGCGATCTATATATACACACACTATACTGCTAGTCAATCACAACTGCAGTTCTTGAACATAAATGAATTTTAGATTTGTATTAATGAGTAACATACATTTACTGTATTTTTAAAAATAATTATGCACTATGGTACTACTCCGGCCCCGCACGTGTTTGACCACGCCATATACGCATAACAACGCTGGTAGCATCAAAGGGTCTACCAGCCTAAAAAATAAAGGACATTTTAATACCAAAATGTTTAAAACAACAACAATAAAAGGAACAGTGAGTGTGCCAAAGGTGCTCTCAAATCCCTGTTGGAGGGTAAACATTAAGAGGTTAATTGTGGAGGCAGGGAAACTCACTGCTCTAGGAGCTGGTCATATCTGGCCTGTATGTCCCTCTCCGCACTCGCAGCTCGCTCTTTCTCAAGGACTGCGTTATCTCGTGCTTCCCGAAGGTTTCTGTGGAAAGGTAATAAAATGAATTGCAGATGCACAAAAACAAACTCACTGCAAAAAATCTGAACTGGAGGATCAATTCTCATTTATAGGTCTGTTATAAATATACGTTTTATGACATTCACACAAGGCAGTTTATAAGTGAACTTCAACTCAACCTTAGCCAAGTCATTTGGCAACGACGATTAATCATTATTAGCTATCATTAAGAGACAATACAGACTTAAACTGGAGCATCACTACAACACCACTGACACCAGGCGCATATGAAAAGGACTGAACCAGCTCGCTGATTATCAAAGCAAACACAGAGGTGAAATCAACTGCCACGCTGCCCTGCCAGACGAGCTGACTGACTGCTATGCTTGCTTTGACCAAACAGATCCACAGAAGACACTATATGCAGTGCCATCCACACAGCTCTAGAACATTTAGAGAAAAGACAGCTATGTGAGAATGCTGTTCATTGACTACAGTCTGGCATTCAACACTTTCACCCCTTCCAAGCTGAGTGAAAAGCTCCACACTCTTGGACTGACACCTTCCTTGTGAAACTGTGTGCTGGATTTCCTGACGGACAGACTCCAGTCTGTCAGGATTGGAAACGACACCTCCAGCATGCAAATTATAAACATAGGGAACTCCTGGGGTCTTATGCTGTGCACATTGTTCACCCATGACTGTGTTGCACCCCCACAGAAACACCACCACCACCATCAAATTTGCTGATGATACAACTGTCATGGGACTGATTAGACAGCCTATAGGACAAATTTGGGAAACTTATTGGCATGGTGTCAGCTTAACAATCTTTCCTTAAATATTGACAAAACAAAGGAGATGACTGTGCAGAAAGAAAAGCGCAACACAAACCATTGCTCATTCATCAGACCACAGCACACAAATTTCTTGGTGTCAACATCAGTGATCATGCCTGGTCTTATAACATAACACAGCTGATTAAGAAAGGACAACAACAACAGCATCACCTGCAATGACTCAAGAAAACTGGCAAGTTAGCCATAATTCTAAGGAACTTAGTTTGGAAACTGCTCTGCACAGGACCAAAAGTGTCTGCAGCGTGTGGTCAGGACACCGCAGAAAATCTCAGGAATGGCCCCCTCACCACTAGAGGACCCACAAGATCAGCCCAGGATAAACCTCACCTTCAACATAACCTCTTCACACTTCTTAAATTATTGTAAATAATTATTGTAAATTCTCCTAAAAGAGTGTGTTGCTTTCCATGAAAAGAAACAGATCACAGTATAGTATCAATTGACAGTTGCAGGGAGAGTTTACATTCAGCCTAATAGCACCCCTACTGGCCATTTTGAGGACACTTCCCTAGGAGTGAACACACTGTGGAAGTTAATGGGCTGTGTATCGATTTGTGAGATTTTTCTTTTTTTAGTAAAGAAGTGCCTACTAGGGATGTAAAAACAGCTGCACAGATTTGAATGAACAAATTATTACAGCCTTTGAGACCAAAGCACTAAATTTTTTTTGTGTGTGTTTTTTTCGCTCTGAAATACTGTTTCAACTAATCCATCCTTTAAATCGTAGATGAACTGTGCAAGGTGTGTTAGGGCGTTTTCACATTTGGGTCGTTTCAGCATTTCAAGTGGTCTGGGTTAGTAGTGGGTGGTTTATCTGGTATACTGGTTGAAATTCTCTCTCAGGTACGAAATTTGTTTTTAATTTTTATCTTATTCATTTCATTTATCTGATTTGTTAGTACTGTACTTAATCATTTTATTTGCTTGTTTTGATAATTGTTTTTTTTTGTTTTAAAGTGCTTAAAATTACTCTTCCATTGTCTTCCAGGCTTTTTTTAATTGTTAATTTTTAATTCATGCTTTATTTCAGTCTTTGTTTCCCTTTATTCATAACAGAATTATAATAATATTTACTCTTTTCAACCCCTTTTCACATGTCACCCTCAAAGATTGACTGTCATAACCATTATACCAGTATGCCACAAATATATGACGTTCATGTTACGCTACTGTGCAAAAATATCTGCATTTTATTAATTTCACTGCATTTATAACCCTACAGAAATAAAATGTATTTCCTGTGATACTAATCCAGTTTGATTTAGTTCTATTTTCTGCATTTTCTACAAGCCTATGTATCAGCATCAGTCTCAGTAGTTACTGTATCTATATGAAATATATTGGATACTGGTATCGGCCCACAATTCGTGTAAAAATGCACCCTATAAACTCTTCAAAAAAGTATTTCAACTAAAGGCAATCTCAGGAACAGCACCGACTATTTTGAATGGTTTTCAACAGCTTGGCACGACTGGAGTATTTTAACAGGTTTGTACATGGCTTGGCAAACCCTATCTCTTGTATGATGATGACCTTGAGCCATACTACCCATAAATCAGCACTGTGTGTGAACAAGAAGTTATTAAGATCTAATTAACACTAAAGAGGCCCAGAAAGAGAACCAAGTGTCCTTTAAGGCCAATTCCCTTTCGGGTTCACTTTCACAAAACTAAGTTTGGTTCATTCAACGCAATACGTGAAAACACCCACAACACAAACAAGTGATAGGACTGAAAATGATTGGAGAGGCAGTTTTGTGTCTCTTTGCCACTCTCGTTTTTTCTTGCTGACTCCCTTGCTAGATCAAAACATCATAGACAGCAAAAGCGCGTATGATGTTTTCTCACTTTCCTAAAGCACTGAGGCGCAAAGACGGTCAGGTGCTGAACCACTGCACAGAGGCACCAACACACCTGTTCTCTCTCTCGTACATTTCCTTGGAGGTGCGCTGCAGGCTCTCGATCTCGTGGCTGGTCTTCATGCGAATGCGTTCCAGCTCATCCCTCAGTTTGTTTTCGTACTCGGTCTTATAGTGATCCCTGGTGGAGAAACCGGTTATAGCTTTACACACTAGAGCAGGGCTGCCCAAACACAGACCTAAAAAACCCACAATGGAGAGCAATGTAGCGTTCTCTAAATTTGACCACAAGTACTTATCAACTACTAAAGCAGCTATAACTACCACTTAAATGGCTGTAAGTTGTATTAATTAAAAAAAAAACTGCAATTATCTTAGTAGTTTATTAACTAGAAATTGCTATGAATAAGAAAATCAGCAATTTGCTCACTACTTTTCGAGTATGAGGTATTCTGGATATACATTTAATAACAGGTTAAGTTACAAGTGCTTTACAGCTGTCTCAAATTAGTTAATTGATACATGGGCTTTAACAAGAGTAGACACATTGTTGTGGATGTGACTGAGAAGTAAAAGATAGCACGGCTTTGTTTCTAACTAGGCTAACTACTCATGCTGATGTTAGCTAGGTCCAGAAGAAATAACCAAATAAACACACATCATCCACTGAGGAGAAAAGATACTTACTAAGCTCATGAGCCCCATTACTTATCTGACACAAACACATCTCTATTTTCAGATATTAAAACATTTTCAAATGTAATCCCTTTTTTAGTGTGCAATATCCATATCCAAACAGGAAGGATAAGCAGCTTAGAAGATGTGTGTGTGTGTTTTTTCCTCCCCCATGTTTGTGTATTAAAAATCATTAATCATTAATATCAGCCAAAGCCCTTTTTCCTTTTCCCTATGGTTAACTGAACCGAATATCCATTCATTAGCCCTAGCTAGGATACCTGAATGTCAAAATCAAATGGAATATGCATGAGGTGATTTTAGTCTGGATTTTTTAAGTGCAGGGGAGCATATTTAATCCCACATTTCAGTACAGACCTGGAAACCACATATTTGTCATAAGCCTCCTCTCTGGCCTTCTTAGTATCCTCCAGCTGGATCTGCAGTCTCTCCAAGCGGTCCTCCTCATGGGCACAGCGCACATTCAGCTCCATGTTCTGCCTGTTCAGATACTCCTTATCTTTCTGGAGGAGAGTCACTGACTGCTGCAGAGTAGAAACCTGCAAGAGAGAGATGTGCAAAGAATAAATTCTAAATTTTACAAATTTAATTTTAGATTTTTTTTCGTTTAAAAACCAGTGCACTTTATTATAGCTATGTAAGCAGACAAAATAAGCTTCATCAGACTGTATTCATTACCATATGTATTTCAATATCATTATTTTCAGAATGGTGTTCACCTGAAACTATACATGAAAATCACGTGATTTCCATAGAATTTACTTTTTTGTTTTTTATCACTACCATCCAGAGCAACATTAGCTGCATGTTCCACCCAATGAGGTGTGGATATCATAAATACAGTTTATGTTTCCAATGCCTCCATGATTGTAGCCTTTCACGCTTGTTCTCGTTCGCTTGTGGATTTCAGTTGCTGTACTGAGCTGTAACAAGAGAGCAAGACAGAATCACAGGTTCTAAGTTACAGCTCACAAGTACAGTCAGGTAAAAAATTAGAACACCCCATTAAATATTTAGTTCGACAGATATCTAAAGATAAAGGTGATGTAATTGCATCATGTTTGTAAAAACAGTAAAAATTCGACTTTGTTACCATTTGTTTAACAAAGAACAAAAAAAAGAAAAACAAAAAAGATGTCATTTAGGATGCCCTATGCCCTGATAGATGTTATTTCCCCTGTTGGCTGAAATAACCTCAATCAGACACTGACTGAGAAAAGTTTTTTCCACTCCTCCATGAAGAATTCTTTCAGCTGTGTGATGTTAGAGGGGTTTCTTGCATGCACAGCCTGTTTCAAATCACCCCACAGCATCTCAATAGGATTGAGATCTGGGCTTTGACTTGGCCATTCCAGAACTCTCAGTTTCTTTCTTTTGAGCCATTCCTTTGTGGATGTACTGGAATGTTTTGGGTCATTGTCATGTTGCATGCTGAAACCTCAGCTTCAGCTTTTGCACAGATGGTCTCATATTTTCTTCAAGTACCCTCTGATACAATAAAGAATTCACAGCAAATTCCATGATGGAGAGCTTGGCAGGCCCAAAACATGACATTTCCAACTGTTTCACAGTTTGTATGAGATTCTTGTGCTCAAACGCTACATTTGGTTTGTGCCGAACTGTACCCAAATAATAAACTTTGGATTCATCTGTCTAAAGCACTGTTCCAGAAGTCCTGGCCTTTGTCTAGGTGTTCTCTGGCAAACTTTAGTCTTGCCCTGATGTTTGGGGTTTTTTTTTGACAGCAAGGGTTTCCTCCTTGCAGACCTCTCATGAAAATCAAACTTGTGCAGTCTCTTTTTGATGGTAGACGCAGGTACTTTGACATCAACTGTGGCAAAAGCTATCTGTAGGTCCCATAATGACATTTTAGGATTGTTGAAGGCTTCTTTACACATCTTGTGTTCTGCTCTTGGGCTGAACGTGCTAGGATGACCTGACTTGGCCTTGTTGGCAGTCAGGCCATCCTCCACTTATTGTTATTTACCAGACACTGGAATGGGTGACTTCTAATTGTTCTGAGAACACACACATTTTCTAAGCCGCTTATCCTTCTGGGTCCTGCGGAGGGGGCTGGAGCCTATCCCAGCAGTCAATTGGGCAAAAGGCCAAAATTAAATGTCTAAGGTTTAAGTAAGACAGGCTACTCCGAAAAATCCTCTCTAATATTGTTCTAAACATTTGCAGATGATGTGGTGAGGCTGATTCTAATTTTAGGAATTTTAAGTAGTAAAAAACGTGGCAGGCCAGTTTAGCACCTGGACTCTTTTACTACGGAGCCATGCTGCTGTAATACATGCAGAATGTGGTTCATCATTGTCTTGCTGAAATAAGCAAGGCCTTCCCTGAAAAAGATGTCATCTTAATGGCAGCATATTTTGTCCGAAACATGTATATATCATTCAGCATTAATGGTGCTTTCACAGATGTGCAAGTCACCTATGCCATGTGCACTAATGCCCCCCCCCCACCACCATCACGGATGCTGGCTTTTGAACCTTGCGCTGATAACAAGTTGGATGATCCCTCTCCTCTTTAACTTAGAGTAGAGTTTTAACTTGCATTTGGGGATGCAGTGACAAACTGTGATCACAGACAATGTGTTCCAGAGCCCACGCAGTGAATTTCCCCTACAGAATTGTTTGTTTGTTTTTAACGCAATTCCGACTGAGGGCCTGAAGGTTTTCCACATTGTCCCTTGTTTACAGAGATTTCTCTGGACTCTCTGAATCTTTTAATGATATTATGTATCGCAGATGATGAAATCCCCAAGCTATTTTACGTTGAGAAACACTATTCTTAAATAGTTGCACTATTTGATCATGCAGTCTTTTAAAAAGTGGTAAACCTCTCCCCATCTTTATTTGTGAAAGACTCTTTTTATACCCTGTCATGTTACTGATCTGTTGTCAACTAACCTAATTAGTTGTAAGATGTTCCACCAGGTGATTTTTTTAAGCATTACACAACTTTACCAGTCGTTTTGTTACCTCTGTCTCAACTTTTCTGAAACATGTTGCTGGCATCAAATTCAAAATGGGCATATTAAAAATAAATAAATAAATAAATAAATAAATAAAGCACAAAAATTTCTCAGCTACAACATTTGATGTGTTGTCTTTGTACTATTCAATAAAATATGGGGTTTAAATGATCTGCACATCATTGCAATCTGTTTTAAATTACGTTTTGCACAGCATCCCAACTTTTTTGGAAACTGGGTTCTAAAAATAACTTACACAAATTTAAGAATGTTTTTTGGTTATATGATAGTTCTCAGCACTACATCTGTGTGTCTATTCTATCTCTATACTGAAAAAAAAAAACTGTTTGTGCATTACCTCTTTACTGAGGTCATTCCTCTCTTTGGTCAGGGCTGTCTGCGTCAGGTCCATCATCTCTAGCTTCTTTCTCAGCTCTCTCACCTCTGTCTCATAGCCATCTCTCTCTCTGAGCAAAACAAGACCATTCACAATACTATCAGCACTATGCTTTCAATGGCATAGTCAATCCTTAAAACACCACTTAAATATAATAAGCAACTCTTTTTTTTAAAAAAATAGGTGAATCATGGTTGAAGGTGGGTGGTGGTGTTTTGTATTGGTTAGGCTTTGTTTTAATTTTTTCTACATTAAAACAGTTTTTTTGGGTTGCTTAGATGGTGCAAGAAAGGACCTCAAACTAAGTTAACACACCTCTGTGCTCCAGGGTCACAGCTGTGCAAATCACAGATCTGTGAACTATCAAAAGATATTAGAACGAAGGCTCTGCAGCAAAAGTCACAATCAGAATAAATGTCCTAAAGAGCTATTGGCTACTTTTCATTTATCACAGAGACTTAGATATTATGATGTCTGATTTTTGGAAGCATATAATAGCTGGTCTGTTCTCCACCATCCGTTGGTTCAATCGCTAATACTAAATAATACTGATAATGACTATATAGTTGTACAGTTATTGTATAATGTACAGAAGAGTTAATGGTAGCACAGAGTCCTGAAGAAACATTTCATTCCTCTCTCAACATATCTGTGACGTAAGAAACATAACAATAGTTGACTTTGACTTAAACATTGTATAAAGAGAAATATAAATCTACCGCCATAAAAAAACCAAGCAAGCAAGTGACATTAATTGATATTAGGTCAAAAGAATCCTTTATATCCCATATAAAGCTATTTTGGAGAAACAGGATCTTCTGCAGCACTTCATTTTAAGGTCTGCTTCTTAACAATTAATTAACTGTAAGAAAAAAATAATAAATGCTAAATGTTGTTTATCTGTTTGTTGACTAATGAGTTAAATGTTATTTAGTTGTAATCTTCAAAGTAAATGTGTGGTAAAAATAATAATTATTATTACTGCTTATTAACATTAGTCTACAGAACTGTGCTCTCACCGTTTAACTTTATCGTAGTTCTGCCGTTTGTAGTCGCCCTCCTGTATAAGCTGCTTGGTGTCGGCCAATTCCAGAGTCACTCTCTGACAGCGGATCTCAAGCTCTGAGCGAGCCCTTCTTTCCTCCTCATAGCTCTGTTAGAACGGAGGCATAGCAAGAAATAAGTAGAACAGAAAGGGAAAAAATCACTCCACTCATGAACATCGAATAAATTCACTTGCACTGTTAAGATTATCTTCAGGAGATCATAACCTACATTTTTCTCCTCGTTGAGGTCCATGTGTAAATCTGTGTGGTTTTGAACCAAGATTTTACAACCGGTTGTTTCTGTTACTGTGTCTTTAATAGTGACATGAGATAAATGAGCTCTGCTCTGATTGGATTTTCTGTATTTGAAACAATCTAGAAGATCAGTGTGAATAGGTGGAGCTAAACTACTGCAGACTGAACAGGCGAATAGGTGCAAATTACATTGCCTCGCTTCTCATGACATCACAAAAACAATACATTCAAAACAGGCTGTTTTAAGCTTAGTTTCAGTACAGAGACTGTGAGGACTGGGACGTGAATGGTACATTTTGAAACAGTGTTTACATCAAAGTATTTTATTTGAAAAAGAAAAAGTCTGTTTTCAGGGCCCTTTAACTATAACATACAGTGGTCTAAATGATACACACTCCACAATTTCATGATAATCTCAGTGCTATTGTGGTCAGAATACTTTTATGGGACTGACAAACATGTCTGGATGAAATACAATGGCATAAATACCATGTTGATTACGTCTCTTCGTACATTCTGTTTATTCATTTCTCACTGAGCTCTTTTGAAGGAAGCGCAGGAGTATTGTTGAAAGTGTGGATTCTAAACGTACAATACTTTTGTGTTTGCAAACAGAAGTGAAGATGTCTTATTATGACTTTACTATAAGTTAAGGGAAGTTATTGGTGTGCATACACTCTTGGTTTGCAGAAAGAAAAATCTAAAATGCTGTCAACACAGAATGTAACAAACAAAAATGTAATTTAACCACATATCTATGCAATAAAATAATTGTGATTACATATAGAAAGAAAAACAAAACTGAGAATAAAGGGTTCAATCTGAATACCTTTTAGAGTATAACCTTTATTCTTCAAGGCAAAGAGTGGGCAACATGATGATATTTTCTACTTGTTCGATACATTATGACAAATTATGTCACAGAGTTTTTTACATGTGGCACCACTACTGTTTGGTCATATTTGTGATGCACACTGTAATGGACAAAATTCATTTACATTTAATATTACTTATATATTATATTTGTCATATTGCCAACCTTATTCAAGGCACATGCAGTCAATACTTCCAATTGGACTTGCATTCTGAAATGCCAGTCTTCCCTACCTCCATTAGGGATCTGATTTGGCTGCGATGGCTGTCCAGGTCATCACTCACACTGTTCTTCTTTACCTGCAGCTCGGTCACCTGAGCCCTCAGAGGAGTCACCACCTCATAGAAGCGTACCTAAGCCAAAAGAACACAGCCTTGGTCAATCTGCATGGACCAGATTAACTTCAGAAGCTACCTGATAGGATTTTAGACTATAAATTGGATTGCCTCCTGACATCCATCTGTCACTGATCACCTGCAGTCCATTCAAGAGGAACATCTGAGATCAGTGAGTGGAATCACTCACATAAGTTTCAGTGATGCATAAGCAATCTCATTTAATAAGTAGAACTACTCAGAAACCCATGAATATGAAAAGCACACACACTACTGAAAGAAATGGATCAGTTACAGCCTTCAATGATTAACTGCTGGAGGCAAAATCATAATTTTGAGTAATATATGGGACACCATGCAGCCTTAGAACTGGCCTAATGTTTGTGACATTAGACTACCATCATCATGCCTAATAGAATTTAAAGAGGGGCTATAAAAACATACAAAGCCAATAGTTCATGTCAAAAACGTCCTTATCCTTCTGGAGTATGGTGGAGAAACTTTAATATTTATTGATTCTACAGAAGTGGTTCTCAAATCATGTCCTGGGGACCCCTAACTTGCACAGATTCAAGTACTCCCTGCCTCCATCACACACACTAATCAAACTCATGACAAAGCTCAAGCCTGCTGAGATGATGTGTTCTTAAATTACATACCACACAGATTTGGCCCAGAATAAAAAATGCAATATGACTCCTGATCTTACAAACAGTGCAAGTGGGCCATAAGCAATACAAAAACAAACAGAATGCAATCAGATGCCTAGTTTTGACCAGTGACAGTGGTTTCCATGAAAGAAATGTAATTGTTGTTACAGCTGGGAAGATCTGAAACTGTGTAGGGCAGTGGGGTCCCCAGGGCTGCATTTGAAAAACCACAGTCCTGAGCTGTTATCAAATGACAATATGTACTAAAAACTACAGATTTGACAAAAAAGGTCAAAGGAAAACCTCAAAAGTAGCAAAAACAACTTAGGAACATTAGTGATGTTCTAGATGTTCAGCAATGCTCACTGCCACATATTCAGGGATGGAGAGCTTGTCCTCAGGAAGTTCTCGCAGTTCTGAGTATCTCTCCTCGCTCAGCTCTATGTCTCTAAGGCTGCGGCGGATGTCCCCAGCTCGCTCACACAGCTGCCTGTTGGTCTCCTCCAGCTGTTTCTGTCGCAGCAAAATGCTGTCCATCTCCTGTTTCCTCAAAGCCTGCTGCTTTCTGCGAGACAGAGTGGACGACTTAAGGGCACTTTCTTGAAGCATCTCAAAGATAAAGGATTGATGGATTATATGGCCAAAAGTATGTGGACACTCCTCCTAATTACTGCGTTCAGGTGTTTCAGCTACACCCACTGCTAACAAGTGTGTAAAATCAAGCATGTAGCCATGCCATCTTCATAGACAAATACTGGCACTAGAAGGGTCGTACTAAAGAGCTCAGTGAATCTGCTAGGCAGAAATTTGAGGAGGGATAATGGTCTGAGGCTGTTTCTCAGCGTTTGTGCTCATCTCCTTAGTTCAAGTGAAGGGATAATGTTAATGCTACAGCATACAAAGACATTTTAGACAAGAATATGCCTCCAATTTTTTGGCAACAACAGTTTGGGTAAGGCCCTATCCTGTTCCAGCATGACTCTGCATAAATCAACGCAGATCAATGAATCAGAACATCAGAACAGACTGAGGGACTTGTTGGTGATATAGTTTTAAATTCTGATACAAATGTGAATGTTTTCAGTTTTTCGATATTGTACTGGCATCGTTACACCCTCAACTGCTATTGCTATATCTTCACTGTGCCAACACCACTATGGCCAGATTAGAAACAATATGTGTTTTTTTTTAACTCTATCAATTACTGACCTGTTTTCATCCTGCTGGAGTTTGAGCTGGCTGTCCAGCCGAAGCGCCAGCACCTGTTTCTGATGCAGAGCGTCATTCAGCTGCTCCTCCAACTCCTCAATCTAAAACATATCACAAACAAATCAGTCCACTCAGATCAAAAAGAGTCAAACAATCTATGTATTGACCGAAATTCAGATTTAGCATGTTGCATATGCAAGTCAGTTTCACTTTCTTTGCAGTGAATATGAAGCATTTCGTACTTTGGTAAGGTGTTCCACTTTGAGGTTATCAATTATGAGATTTTTCTGGGACAGCTCTATTTTCAGGAGCTGAATGTTATGGAGCAGCTCTTTTCTCTCTAGCAACTGCTTGGTGACCTTCCGAGATCCGTTCTTTTCATCCGAAGAGGAGATGTCCTCCGTGGGCACGGTGGTCTCCAGACTGATGTCCTCAGACTCCAGTGAGCTGGAGATGTTGGCAGTGGCATCCTTCTGCTTTTTGGGCGGCATTTATGTAGCCTTTAACAAAAGAAGAAGAAAATTTAGTAAAAGCAACAATTCTTGGCTAAATGTCATCATTAGTAGCCTACAAATTCAGATATAAGGGTCTTAAATTTAAAGTAAATTGTAAGGATATAAGAATTTCAGTACTGTTAGAGGAGTCTGAAAAATTACTGGTTGAAACAGTGAATTGAAATTTATAACTGTATTGCCAATATACACCTCGTGACTTGCGATCTTTCACGAAAGTCGACTTTTTTTTTAAATAAAATTTGTAATTTTCTGAGCAATTCTGTACCAAGTCAAGTCAAGTCAAGTCAAGTCAAAGTTTCTTTATATAGCGCTTTTTATAACAGGCGTTGTCACAAAGCAGCTTTACAGAAAAATCCAGGTCAAAGCCCCATGAGCATCGCCAATGGCGACAGTGGCAAGGAAAAACTCCCTAAGAGGAAGAGGAAAAAGCCTTGAGAGGAACCGAGACTCAACAGGTGAACCCATCCTCCTCTGGTCGACACCAGATAGCAAACAGCATTCCTTCTTTTTTTGTTGGAGCATCCAGCTAAAATGGTCTTACATTAGTCCAGCCTGGAGGTTACAATGCATGCACAAGTTTTTCCGCATCATTTAGGGCTAGAATATTACGTAGTTTAGCGATGTTACACAAGTGAAAGAATGTGGTTCTAGCAATGTTGCAAACATGTGTATTAAAAGAGAGACTGGAATTAAAAGATGACGCCTAGATTTTTTACAGCAGTGCTTGGAATGACCATATGGCCATCTAAATTTAGTTCAAAATTGAAGAGTTGTGATCTCTCTGCTTTGGGTCCAAGTAGTAGGACCTCAGTTTTGTCAGGATTAAGAGGAAGGAAATTGTTGGTCATCCAGCTTTTGATATTTTTAACACATTCTTCAAGATTATTTAGATTTAGAACCTCATTCGGTTTAGCAGATATGTAAAGTTGTGTCCGCGTAGCAGTGAAAACTAATGCCGAATCTGCGAATTAGCTTACCAAGAGGTTGCATGTACAGAGAGAAAAGCAGCGGCCCGAGTACAGATCCTTGGGGGACACCATATTGTACTAGCGTGCGATCAGAGTGTTTATTGTTAACACTGACAAATTGATAACGGTCTGTCAGACAAGATTGGAGCCACGACAAAGCCTGTCCCTTAATACCAACCAGATTTTCCAGCCTATCAAGGAGGATTTTGTGGTTGATAGCATCAAATGCTGCACTGAGATCTAGTACTGTCAGGTCCGTCAATATTTGGATGTCAACCAGGTTACTGTTATCTCAGCTGTTTACGACAGCACAATGGAGCTGAAATGAAATGGTGCATATAAGATGCAGACTTTTGGATATAATTTGAGAGTATTTACATTCAGATCAAGTGAAGACGACAGGAATTAAAAACATTTTCATATAAAGCCCCCCATTTTCAGCTGCTCAAAAGCAACTGGACGATTGGCAGCTCAGTTGTTCTATGGCCAGGTGTGTTCTCTGCCCTCATCATATCACTTACAAGTAAGCAGATAAACGGTCTAGAGTTGATTTTGAGGGTGGCAGAAACCCAGGGTCTGGTAAAGTCTGTGAGTTCCAGACTTCAAGCAGTCATTCGCTGCAAAGGTTTTGCAACCAAGTATTAAGAATCAAAATATTGAAATTGAAAATGTGTCTTGTTACTGTTAACTGTTAGTCAAACAATCAAAATAAGTCACGTAACTTCAGCAAACCTATGAAATGACCTGTAAGCTAGAGCAGCTCGCTCTTTGCCAAACGTGAATGAGCAACTCAAGCTGAAGGTAAAGAGGATTTCACACAATTTGTAGTCTAGCAAAGCCTTTAATGAGCAAGGTTGCTGGGGGTTAACCTTTAAAGCTAGCCTGCTAATTTAGCCACTTGTTAAGGTCCCATTGAAGACATCTCGAGGGATCCCAGTTCAGCTCTGTCTGCAGGAACCCTTACAAGATGCATTACAGTAATACCTCATTCATTTCTACAGGGCTCCTATTAGACACACAGTAATTTGGCATTGTTACTCAACTTTATCACAGCATTAAACTACATTAGCACCCCTACTTGTGTCAGTTTCCCGGACAGGGATTAAACCTAGTCCTGGAATACATTTTCATTTTAATGAGGAGGCTATTCAGAATACATGAGGGCTCATCTCTTAATTAATTAACCTAGCTAAGTCTCGAAAAAGAAGAACTGGGTGAACACAGGAACCTAAACAAAGCTCAGACAGCTGTCTCTGATAAGACCATGACTGAGACAGCAGAGACAGCAATGTTTCACTGTTAAACGCTCATTTGTTAAATAAACACTGATTCATTCCTACATGTAAGACGCTAAGAGTGTTATTCGGTTGTAGTAACCAGTATTAAGTACTAAAACATATCTAGCTCTCATATCTGGGTTCTCGAGAGGCGAACGTTAAATGTCTTGTTCGCATTAACCGAACACTTTCAGCAAAAATCACTATAGCAACACCGTTAAACGCGTTTATGGTCAGTTCTGTAAGGAGCCAGGAAAAGGCAATGACTTAACTTAGCCTCGATGACCAAGAGAAAGCGGACTTACCCTCGACAGAGAACGGTTTCAGCTCCTCTTTTCAAGCGTCCCGCCGCTCCTGGAGACCACCGACCACAACACCAAACAAAAGGGCGACTACCGTCGACATCGCAGAGCCTGTTTCAGCTCCGCTTTGCTCTGCTTTTCCAGTGTGAGCGCCCCCTATCGTCCGCCGCCTAACGGTACATGTAAGCACAGCCGGTAGATCGCCCCCTGCTGTTCGCGCTAGAGTGCTCAGCTAGGAGCTCTATAGTGTGTATTTCATTGGAAGTGAACAGTATGTTGAGGTAAACAAGGTCAGGTGTGCAAATTATAGTAAGCGGTTATATTTATATACAGCTGTATTCACAACCTGTACAATGCAGGCATCGGAGCATTAGCAGCTTAATGTTCAAGCGTAGACCCTGCAAACACAGTCACGTTGTGACAACGTTTTGGTGCCCACAGCGTTGTCTGCTTGGTGCTCTCTACAACGTTATCTGACAACTTTCTAGGAGGTTGTGTCGACGTTGTGACAACCTTGGGGAGACAACAAAAGTAATCAGTACGTTGACTGTACGTTGTCACAACCTCCTAGAAGCCTTAATAAGTTCCATTTTATTCAATATTACAGTTTCTGATAACAAATATAGTTCATTGGTGCACAGAAATAGAGAAATAGATCTGTGTAATTAGGCAATTTAATTATATACCAAATAATAGTAAATATGCTTTCATGTCCATCAATTTTCGTCACTATTTGTCTGTTAATCTAATAATAAATAGGCCCATCCGTGATAAAACTGTCGTATAACGACAATCATTCACTCAAGGTCGTGCTGTTACGCGAGAGACTAGTGCTGGTGTGATGTGGTGGCGCCGTGTATCACCATACCTTAAGCTGCTGTCTGCCATGGTGGGCTCAGCGAAATAGAGCAGCTGATATAGAAAACTAGCACACCTGTTTTAAATTATTGGCTCCCACGATTGTATCATAAAACTTAACACAATAAATAATTTAGCAGGAATTTTAATTTCAGCTACACTTTGCAAAAAAAAATAAATAAACGTTTTTACGTAGAATAATACTAATAATAGGAGCAGAACAGACTTTGACTGTAAAAAGCTAAAAGAGAAATTTACACAGACTCAGTGTTATGAAACATTTTGTCTGTTTAGGTCTATTTTAACGGAAACGAATCAAATCAGAAAAAAGACCGTAATGGGCGTCGCCCATAACTCTAATATTTCGAAACTTTTGGGAGTACATGCAAAAATAACTCCACTACAGTAACTCATTTCATTTTTGGATTTTATACAAAAACACAATAACTCAAAATCAACTGAGAAGATTTAATGTAAAACTTAATACTGCAGTAAACCACAATATCAAACATGGCCTTTTTCATGAACTGCACTGCTGTGCTGAGCTCGTGGCATTTCACATCACAGAGTTGCAGTAAGGCACCATATACATTTCGTCATCCGTGAAAACTGTCTTTCAAATCAACACAAATCACAGTAAATTCATCTGCTGTGTGCTAAATGCAGAAGGCATTCGTGTGGTCATCAAAATCCTGCCCAAGGAAAATGTATTCACTTTTCTAATTTCTTTTCATTTTCTTTACTGCAGCTGGTAGTATAAATAACTATTAATAAGAAGTGTATAAATAACTATTAATAACACGTGTATAGCTGGCAGTATAAATGATCAGTATAAGTCACTTTAAAATGTATATATTCCTCAAAGATTATCCCTTATCCCTTGTTTAATATAAATATATTTGTACATAGCAGAAAGGATTTTTTTCTCCTTACATAGGTCCCACCTGTCTCTATATTTTGTGTATATTTAATACATTTCAGTTTCAGTATTTCTTTGTATTTTTATTTTTACTTTGTTTACTTTCTGTAGAGTGAGCACCTGAGCCTCGCCACAAGCATTTCAATGCATGAATGTCCTGACATGTTGTGCAAATGACAAATAAACTTGAAACTAAGTGCTCAAGTTTGTAGAGTTCCTGTTAGAAGTGTGATGTGCGAACAGTCCTGTATACAGTCCACACAACGAAGATCAGCTGTGAACTGGAGGTGGCACACGTAACAGGCTGTACGATGTGGGACTGTACGCGCTTTAAACTGGAGCTCTATATACTTGAGCATTCATGCTGTATGCTTGAACATTATGCAGCTGATGAGTTACCTGCACTGTACACGCTGTGAATCCCACATACAGCCCATATAACGAAGATTAGAACTGGAGGTGACGCTCACAACAGGCTGTGCGATGTGGCGCTCTGTCTCAACACCATATTCACGTGTGTGTGATCCAAATGATTAATTGACAGTTACTGACAGACTGAAGGTGATATGGGTTTTGTAGTTCAGTTGTATTTTCATCTTCACGGTTGGCTTTTAAAGCTCAGCAAAACGTTATGCTGTTGTTTTGTATCTGTGGTGTTTTTCCTCTTATTGAGTTTTATTTCTGAAACAGTACACAAAAATACAGAGCTTGTGTAATAAAGCAAATAAAGCAAAGGGAATAATAACCGAACCACCTTCTCTTTCAGAGGAGTTTCAACATGTCTGAAGAGATCAGTGGTGGACGAAGTACACAAATCATGTGCTTGAGTTAAAGTAGAGATGCCCAAGGTAAAATATCACTCCAGTAAAAGTAGAAGTCCTCCCTTTAGATCTCCACTTGAGTAAAAGTACAAAAGTATTTGCCTTCAAATGTACTTAAGTATCGAAAGTAAAAGTACTAAAAGATTAAATAACTTTATTCAACTTAGTTACAAGTTTAAGTTTAATAAAACTTACTTTAAACGCAGGTTCACAGATGTGTTTTCCTTTACTATATTGCATCTGTAGGTCTCTGTTAATAAACATAAACTAGCCAAAACAAATTTATTGTAACATGAAATAGTGTCCGCGACCCAGAAGGATAAGCGGTTTAGATAATGTATGTATGTATGTATGTATGAAATAGTGTTTGTATAAATCCAGAAAAAAGAAACACATCAGTCACAACTGCATATGTGTACATATTTCTATAATGCGGTCTATTTACACACAGTCAGGTCAGTTCCATCATTTATGTTGAATAGACCCTCCCAAAATTTTACACTGCTGCTCTGATGATGAACCGTATGCTTGCACTGGGTCGGTATGTCCAGCAGGTCAAAACAAGCTCAAAACAAAGTGTGCGTGCTGTGCCCTGATTGGTGCGCTGCTTCGCGCTTCTTTCGTCTTGACATGTTACGTTTTTATACACACATAAACCGAAAGGACAGATTTCACATAATGTAGTGGAGTGAAAGTAAAAAAGTCGCCCAAAATGGAAATACTTCAGTAAAGTACAGATAGACGAAAAACTGCTTAAGTACAGTAACGAGTTACATTTATTTCGTTGATGTCCTCCACTGGAAGAGATTTAGTGTTGGTGGAAGCAGAAAAAACTTTTAAATTATTAATAATAAAGGAGGTCGTTTGTTATTAAATTGTTGTTTTGTCTTTATTTTGCAAAAAAAAGTATAAAATAGTCGTCTTCCTTCCTTATTGTATTTGTAGTTACTGTTCTTATAATCCGTTTTTTTTAATCCGTTATCAAAATATCCTTTCAAAATATTTTGAATGCAACCAGCAGGTGGCGCAAGTCTCCGTTTTCCCTACTGCCTTAAAAGAGTTCGGGTTCAGGACTCTTATTGTGAAATTCGCTGATAAACCGGAAATCGTGCCGAAATTCTGTCGCTGTAAATGTTTTATTTTGGTGAGAAAGTAAAAAGAGGGTTTTATTAACATTTTTCCAATGAGGATAAATCTGAGGCGATGTCGGGCAGTAATGTAATCGGACCCGCGCTGCCACCGGGACTGAGAGAGAACAGGAGTGATGAATCAGATGAAGAGGACAGAAGTATGTTAGTCCGCAGGCGCTGCAGCTGAAGTCACCTTCTCCAGCTTTTCGTTAGAATTCCCCCGTTCCACCTTAAACTGTACAGCAGTTACGTTCTGGCGCTTCAGATACTTAAGGTGGAACGGGAAAATGCGAATAGAATAGAAACCAAATGCATCCTCGTCTGACTGTTGGCGGATAAGCCTTAACCTGCTGCTCTGGCCTGGCTACACTTATTAGCCACACACAGGTTAAATGTGTGACTGCTATGTCGATTTAATGCATAATTTGTCTAGAAAAGCATTAATTTGCAGGCTTTGCACGAGGTGCCTTAACACGTTGTGGTTTGGGGGGGAATTTCTGAATTTTGAAAATTGAATGTATAATGCAGTATTTGAGATGTAAACGCGGTCATTCAAAAGTGGACTGATGTGAAATGGTAACATATTTCTTTACAGTGGTGGTGATAGGAACCAGGGGTCACAACACAAATAGTCAAATATTCATTTACCATCCAAAACTACCAGTGAACCTACACGTCTCTTCTGAGATTTGATATGTAGTGTTGATGTTGATGATGGTAAAAGTGTGTTAAATCTTTATTTGGGGACTGTTTTGCCTCACAACAATGCTTTGCATTTACCTCTCCACTGTGAGTGGATATTTAAAAAACGTTTTAAAGCCCAAACGTTTTCATGGCATTTCGTGTAGTAACGTTTTGTGGTGTAGCTTTTAAAGGTATTGAAGACAACAGGTGTCTGGTTCCTATCAGTTATCAGCACCACTGTAAGTTTTTCTGGAATGGAGCCTTTCCTATGAAACCACTCTGAATGAGTTTGTTTACATCTTAAACATTTAGTTATGCATTAAAAAAGGCTGGAATACCCTTTTAAGTATTTGCTCTTATGTCTTTGCCTTCATACAGTCACCAAAGTTGTTTTTCAGTCATAGGTCCAGCGCTGCCTCCTCTGTATAAACCCGTCGAATCCACCAGTTCATCAGAAGACAGCGATCAGGAGGTCGTGTTCAAGAGAGCCAAATACTCGGGATCTGGAGACGGTCCGTCACCAAAGTATGTCTCTTCTTATAAAATTAATAGTAAAAATCCTTCTACTCATAATAATTATTATTATAAAAATAATAGTTATCTCTGCTTGTTTGTATATAGAACACCTGATAAAAGTCAGGTTAGCAGCATGAAATATTTTTACAAATAAGAGATCAAATTAAGCAGTAACTCTAATAAAGAAGTGCAATGAAAGAGGTAAATAAAACAGACAGTAGCATAAAATTAAAAAGAAAATGAAATATACATAAAACAAATAAAAGCTAAATTAATCATACGTTTTTAAATGTTTGATAAAGTGAACTGAGCTTGACTGCTGAATTAAAAAAAGTGGAACTGAGCTTCATAGTTTCAAAGCATTAGAACAAAAACTGGCCTCTTCACTTTCTCTTTATTTTATGCAGATTACTAGAATCTGCTGATCTAAGATCACAAGTAACATTGTGGTCAGTACACGGGTAATTTAGTGCTAAACAAGTAAATTAAATCTATCCTAAAAGATACAGGTGACCAGTGCAGTTTTTTTTTTCTTCCATTCAGGGTGATGCGTGAATTATTCTTTCTTTTTTTAGATCAATTTTCTTGGAAAGCCCTGTAAACACAGCATTACATTAATCAGCTTTGCTGAATGCCCAGACAAGTTTTTTCGCAGTGTGTATTAAAAGATAAAAAGCGACTTTCGTAATCTTATTTATATGTGGAATAAAAAGAATTCACTCCACTCAGTAACATTAAAGCCTTGAAAGAATCTAATCTCACCTAATTTACTCATCTAATTCAGCAGATCTCGCAGAGAGGAACAAGCAGCTAGAAAACCAAGCGTGGAAGATGATGATGGCTTCTTTGGTCCAGCTCTGCCTCCTGGATATAAAAAGAAAGAGAGCTCACCTGAACGGTAAAAGCAGATGGTCATGACATGCATGTTAAAGGGGAATTCCACCTATTTGTCAGATTGGCTCACTGATGCTGATGAGACTGACTAATATTTCAGTACTAAAATTAGATACTTAAAGGGGAAGATGTACACAAAGTCATTCAGTGTGGTTTAAAGTGAAACGTTCCATTCTACAGAAACTTACTGAATCAGAATTGTTTACAGTGGGGGTGTTTAATGTCCCTAAAAGCTGTACCACAGAAAGTTAATAGTTCCAAATATCTGTGGAATTTCCCCTTTAAGTGCTGGTAAAACATTGTGGTATTGTTCTAATACTGTTTGCATTATAGGATTATTCCAGCATTTTGCTGTTGATTGCCACAAATGATAATTTCGTCGTACTTAGACCTTTTGAATCAGAGCACGTTTATTGCTATAATAATAAGCATGTAGAATAGACTATAATACACTATTCTAAGTGGGTTTTGAGTCACCAAATTTTTTTTCTCAGTGCAAGGAAATCCATCAAAATTATCATCTGTAGTGACCCACCATATGTTACGGATGTGGTCAAAAACACTTGAGTGTTCCTCTAAGCTTTAGTCCATATGGGCATTTTCAAAGTACTGTTTCCACCCAAACCTCTTGTTATGCCTGTCTCTGGTCACATTTAGGCCACCGGTGCTAGGACCTGCGCTGCCTCCGGGCTTTGAAAGACAGGATCATGACGAGGATGCAGAGGAGGATGATGGGGCCATAGGGCCAGCACTACCACCAGGCTACACAGCAGACTCTTCTAGCAGTGAAGGAGAGGATGATGCAGTCGTTGGACCCATGCCAGCAAAAGATGCAGCTGAGAGCTCTGTGGCGTTAGACTTTGAGAGAAGGGCGAAGAGGATGAAGGACAAACTCATGGGGCTGGATGTGAGTGTTTTGCCACCTTTGCTGATAGTAGTTGCACTATTAACCATGTTTCTAAATAAGGAGATATGAGGCTAGTTGGCTTTTTAAAAAGAACATTTTAAGACTTTTTTGGTTCTGTTGCACATATCAATCATACAACTAAACCCACTGTCACTGTCAGCTTAATTTTCATGATTGTGACAGATCAGTGAGTTGCAATGCATATCAATCTATGACCTAATAGTGATTCATTATGATTATGATTCTTTAAAGATTAATTTAATGTAAGGAAGCACATGCACTGTACTACTCTGTTAACCATTCCAGAAGTATTTGAATACATTCGCGTATTAATGACATTACATAAAAGTCAGGGATAAAATATACAGAATCTATACAAAAAAAAACTATACACCCATTTTTCTTTCATTAAAAATAGCCCAAGTATGTTGTTTGAGCACCTACTACTGAGTACCTTTATTTTTTCCAGTTAATGTTGGAGCACTTGTATTGCTCTTTTCATCATGAAATTGTAATACAATGCAAAAGGTAACTGTACTTTTCAAATTGTGCAAAAAAAAAACAGAAATTGAGATACAAAGTTTTTGTGCTTCAGTGACAATATAATCGTTATAGGTGATTCTTATATTAAATAATGCAGTAAAATTGGCACCTTCAGATCTTTTTGTCATACCTATAAATGACACAATGTTAACGTTAATCTTCTGCAGCCAAATGTCAAGTTGTAAAATAGATTTTACAAACTGACAGAATTTCTCCATCGCTATTTGTGCTCTGCATTTTTAGAATGAACCTGAAGAGCTGAAGAGGGAGAGCTGGATGACCGAGCTGCCGCCCGAGCTGCAACACATTGGGCTGGGCGCACGCACCTTCAAGAAGAGATCCGGCCCTGAGGATAAAGACCGGTCTATCTGGACAGACACGCCTGCAGACCGCGAGCGCAAAGCCAGGGTGAGTTACTCATCTGCTCAAATAAATAATTTCTTTAACAATTTACTATTAGTAATGTTACCACTTCTGAGTTAAGTATCAACTTATCAACTAGCTGTCATTTTAGCCATTTGCATCAACTATAACTGAGCTGCGTTGCCCCTGCGTATCATGGAGGGGAGCACTGACCACCTTTTTTTTTATGATTCATTAGGAAATTATAAAAGTGCACCCTGAAATCTCAAATTTCACAAAATTCACATCTTATTTGATTTGATTATTTTGACCTGACAAATATGTCTTAAAGAATAATTTACACAATAATGGAATATAAATAAAAATACAGTACAGAGTAAAAAAAAACCTTAATACTTCATTAGGTATGTATTGTAAATGGTTTTAACATTTCAAAATTGTATTTCTTTATTTGTCTGTAAGGAACGACAAGAAGCAAAAGAGAAGGGTCTGCCAGCCAAAGAAGAAGGCCCTCGTCTCTCTCAGAAAGACCTAGACATGGCTGAAAAAGTGTCCAAGTACAATGTAAGTTGCAGTTTGTTCAGCCCAAGTAACTCAACAGTGGCCCCAGTTTTTTTCGTTGTTGTTTTGGCTCTGTACTCTATCATCGAATTGGAATGAACCACTGACCCTGAGATCTGCAGAATATCATTCGTATGAGTATGTTTGTGACTATATACAGTGCACCTCACTGTATATGTTGTGAAATATAAGTGGCAAACCAAAGAATAGTATTTAAATTGTAAGCAAGCTCTCATTAATTGAACTGATCTTACTGCCCTGACTGATATTATTTCTGCCTTGAAACAAACAAAATTCTCTGCTAGAGCAGGTGATGGGGCATTTTTATAAGTACAAATGTCCAGAAATGGGTTGAACAATCTTATAATAATAAATATTACCTATATTTAAGACGCTTTTATTTGTCAAGATATCACTTTTTGCGGTGTATCTTTTTATGCCGTGGCCAAACGATTATTTTATACGATACTAGAACCATTCTGTCAGTCTTAAACTGGCTTTTCTTTATTAGGAGTCTAAGAGAGGTGAATCTCTCCTGAGCATGCATACTAAGAAAATGAAGAGGAAGGCTGAGGAGGACTCCAAACAGCCAGTGGAGAGGAGGCCCTTTGACAGAGACGCTGACCTGCAGGTCAACCGCTTCGACGAGGCTCAGAAGAAAGCTTTGCTGAAGAAGTCTCAGGAGCTGAACACTCGCTTTTCACACAGTAAGGACCGGATGTTCCTCTGAGGAGGAACCGTCATAGAGATGTTGACAAGGAGTGTTTAAAGGGTCAACCAAACCAGTGCGAACTATTGTGTCTGTCATTGATTGGTCCTTAATTAGCACTGTTTATTTGAACTACCCATTTAAAGATTAGCCAGTTAGTGCTAATTACTGTGGGTACTGAGGATGGAAAGGTAACATCAGCTTTCATTTATTATGAGCACTGTTTGGTAAGCTAGCCCTCTGAAAACAGAGCTGTGCTTAAGGGTAAGCTAAATAGTACTAGCTAATGTTGCTATAGCTTGCTGAAAGCCAGCAACATTCTTTCATTAGTCAAATAGTGCTTTCTTTAGCTTTCATTGGCCAAACAGTGCTAATGTAAAATGATGTAAATATCATGTATCATCTCAGCAGTTTTAGATTCATGATTTAATGCTCATGTCTAATATTCATGCTCGAATATTGAGACGTGCAAAGAAATGAACAATATGAAAGAAAATATTCATACTGCAAGTTGTTGGTGGTGATGCTATAAAATTGTACAGGAATATTTTCTGTGTTGTTTTGGTGTTTTGAGAATATGAAGTTGATTTGTAACCCTTTTTTAAGTGATTTAAAATGTGATTCCAAACATTCTTTTGTGTTTATCTTATGTTGTAGTTTTTCATACCCTGTTTGTCACCGTCTGACTTGGAATAAAGAAACATTTCAACATATTGTAGAGGTTTTATAGAGGTTCTTTACACAATTCCTACATGTACACAACTCAAAAGCCAGCAGAAAAAGACAGCCTCACCAAATCTAACCCCCATACTGCCCCCCCTCCCAAAATAGTAACCTAATGGTAGAAATGCTTAAATGTTAATGTAAGTTAATATAAAAAGGTTTTATTCTAAGTAATTGTGGAGCATTTCTATTGGTCCATTCACTATCAAATATTTAAAAATGGAAGATGTTTTTCTCTGGACAACAACAATAATAATGTCATTCATTTATGCATATAAGCCTCCCATAATGACCAAGCTGTTAGAGAAGAAGCTGTGACATAACTGTGCAGTGTTCTCAACATTAGGGCTAATCAGATTTTTTTTTAACTACTGACTAGTATGTGGTCATGGCTAACTGGACACTACCATTCAAAACTCAAGAAGAATCGTTTATCAAGTTAATGACCTGTTAACTGGCCATAACATTAAAGCCACCTCCTTGTATCACTGCATATGCTCTTTGCTCATATGCACTTTGTAGCTCTACAATTACAGACTGTAGTCCATCTGTTTCTCTGCATACTTTGTTAGCCCCTTTCACCCTGTTCTTCGATGGTCAGGACCACCACAGAGCAGGTATTATTTGGGTGGTGAATCATTCTCAGCACTGCAGTAACACTGATGTGGTGGTGGTGTGTTAGTGTGTGTTGTGCTGGTACGAGTGGATCAGACACAGCAGTGCTGTTGGAGTTTTTAAACACTGTGTCCACTCACTGCCCACTCTATTAGACACTCCTACCTTGTAGATGTAAAGCCGACAGCAGATAATACAGACGATAGCTCATCTGCTGCTGCACAGTTTGTGTTGGTCATCCTCTAGTCCTTCATCAATGGTCACAGGACGCTGCCCACAGGACACTGTTGGCTGGATTTTTTTGTTTGGTGTACTATTCTCAGTCCAGCAGTGACACTGATGTGTTTAAAAACTCCAGCAGCACTGCTGTGTCTGATCAACTTGTTGGTGGTTCTGTGGGGGTCCTGACCATTGATGAACAGGTAAAATGGGTCTAAAAAGTATGCAGGGAAACAGATGGACTAGAGTCTGTAATTGTAGAGCTACAAAGTGCACCTGTATGGTGAGAGGAACTGATAAAATGGACAAGGTGTAGATAAAAGGATTTTATGCTTTTAATGTTATGGTTGATGGTGTATACAGTGCAGATTAAAATGTTATAAACTAAGCATCTGAAAGTCTGAGGATGTATTCAACCTTTCTTTATTCCAGCTTTATATATAAACTGCAATTATGGGCTCCCAAGTGGCGCAACTGTCTCAGCATTGACCCTGTCATCGGGTGATCCTGAGCTTTATATGTGGTGATCCATGGGTGGGTAACATAGCCCTTTCCTTTGACTTTCTCCTTTAGGCACGAAAATTATCTTATATCTAATCTCTTCAGAAATATATTTAGTCATTCTAGATGAGCATGATGAAGAAATACGAATGAGAAAAAAGGCAACTGTTTGTGTTTGGGTAGTCCAATCCTGACATTTCCTTTTGAAATTCATTCCTTACATAAAAATAGGTATCAAGTGTTTTGTTTGTTTGTTTTTACCAACAATTTGAATATGTGAAATACAGGCACTGATAGGCCAAATATTAGGTTATTTAACTATTTAATAACTATAGTTTCGTCATTTTTAGAAATATATGTCGTTTCTTGTGGACAACCATGTTACAATAATAAGATGTACAAGCACAAACAGACTTAGATCATTTTGTTAATGCTGATGTACAAACTATCAAATTAGTAAAAAATTAGTACTGGTATCGGGACACTACTCTTTGTTTTACTTGATATCGAATCGAAAAGAAAATCGGTGGTATTGCCCATCCCTACTGCATCTAGCGGCATCGTGCACTAGGCCTGTTTGTCCCAACGCAGCCCCCGTACGAGCTTCACGGTAAGCGTGCCCGGGTCTTTCGTGACTAGACTAGCCGTGCATGAGAGGAAACAAAGACCTACTGAAGACCTTCTTCATGACATTTTAATATCTAACATATCTGAACAGGCAGTGAGGATGTCAGACAGAGGAGACGTGGATTTAACCGGAGCCAAACAGAACACCGGCGTCTGGCTTGTTAAAGTGAGTGCAGATACAGTGACTTCAGCTAGCCTTAGCTAAGCTATGTTAGGTTAGCTAGCCAGCAACGTATATATCTGATTGTGTTCAGTACATAAATCAGTTAACGTTAATTACAGTTGCTTGGTTTGATCATGTTAGTGTAGTCATTTCCTTGTAAACATGCTTTATGTGTAAAAGTTCGTAGCTCTGGTCTGTAGCAATGCTAACCTGGCTAGCTAAATGGTTCGTTCACTGCTACCAGCAGAGACAGAGACGAGGTGTCTCTGTTGTCGATGTAGGTTAACTTACTTAACCCTGCCGTGCTTCGTGTAGATTTAGATATGGGTTTCTCACACGTTATATGTCTTAATAGGTGCCGAAATACTTGTCTCAACAATGGGCCAAGGCTACAGGAAGAGGAGAAGTTGGAAAACTTCGGATCGGCAAGTATGTAGGTTAAACAATTACTTGGTTGTGGACCTTTTCGGGGGCGGGTGTGTGAAAGCTATCTGTACGTGAATGGGACATAAGCCACTTCAGTCATTCTGTGTTTCTTCATGCTTTTTGAAGGAATCAAGGGAAGGCAGAGGTAAGTTCTACATTTATTTATTTTATTTTTTTTACCCTGGCACTGGCTGAAGCTGACCCTGGCGTTTCCTATAGAGAAAAGGCCTTAAATCAAGTCCCCAGTCCAGGAACTTGTGATCAGATTTGTGTCAGTAGTGGGTGTGACACTAGTTGGCTAATTTATTATATTAACAGTTTCATTCAACGCATTCAAGACCTCTTTGTCCCACTGGCAGATTACAAAATTCAGGAACAGAAACTGGATTCGAGGTCCATATATGAATTCTCTGCCATAGACTTACATGAACATTTGCTTAGCAGGTACAGGTGCAATGAAAATGTCGAAGGACTGTCCCAAAATGTGCCCTAAGCCTCAGCTAATTTTCTTATCTACAGTGGGTCAATCCAGATTACAAACACAGTGCAGCTCAGTAATGAACAGATTTTTTTTTTATTTCATACCTGGATATTCTCTTCTCCACCACGTTGTTCAGAAAGCTGTAAACAAACCCATCCAGTCTGATTCATCCTGGCCTCTGATTGGTTCTCACATTCACCTGACTGGCCGCATTCATGTAGTTCATGTTGTATGCTAGCCAAAAAAAAAATAAAAAAATGGAGGTTGTGATTTATTTGCCAGCATCTATCTATTTTAACCTATTTGATGTGTTTTTGATTGCAAATGTGAGTCAATGCATGAATGAGCACTTCATCAAAGGCTGCAGAGAGGGTGTTTGTAAGCACCCTTCTGAATGCCAAAATGAGAAATAGAACAACCTTTGGCTGGGTGCTTCAGTTTAAGTCTTGGAGTGCTGGTGTCTGGCACAGTTTGGTGTTTTTCTTTTTCCGGCACCTACTACACCTGCCAACTAACAGATGAATTGAACCAGGTGTGTTTGAGCAGAGAATTTACCAAACTGTGCTGGACACAGGAATTGAAGAACCCTGACTGTCTGGCATGCGCAGATAAGGTCCGAAGGATGCCAGTTGGTACAGGGCTTGAGAAGACTTGTGCCCATTTCATTATATTCTGCAAATGCTACTACAGATAAGAAGTACATTGTGTATGCTTGCATCACTTAATCTTTATCAGGTGTCCTTCACGCTGAATGAGGAGTTGACCACGATAGAGAGCTCTAGCGAGAAAGCTTCTGTGGTCCGCGCCCCCCGGGAACATCCCTTCACCATGCAGACTGTGGGTGGCCAGACTTTGGCCGTCTTTACAGAGACCTCTTCAGGTGAGAACCAGCTAACAAGCTTGAGGCCACTGTTATTAAAAGTTCTGGGCTTCTTTTAGATGAAACATGAAAAGAACTACGGACCCTTTGCATTCAGCTTCCTTTGAACGTTGACCTGATGTGTAATCATCAGAAATCCTCAGTAGGAAGATGCAAAGGAAATGACTAGGTGACCTGATGTTTCTTACAACAGTCAGCCTACATACGTTTGTGAAATTAAATCTGCTCTGAGAATAACAAACATTCCATTTATTTCGGCCAACATGCAAATATCATGAACAGTCGTAGCATGAGGTGTGTCTTGTCAAGAGAAAAGAAGCAGTTTGTTGCAGTGTCTGTTAAAGAGCAGCTGAGATTGGATTGTCAATTCAAAATGTATTCTTAGTTTAAGAGTAAGGCTTAAAGAGCTTTTACCTTGAAAAGCAATTTTTCGTCTTAGTGTATGTATATGTATTTAGTATATGTTAAAACTTGTTAACCTGTTAAAAGTTTAAAATGTACCGTTCACTTCCCAGTCCATGTAATCCATATATGCAAACTTAGCCAAAAAAAAAAATCTGTTTAAATTGACTATTTCTGTGATGTCATGGTAAACAACTCATTTGAATATATCTTCCATTCACCCTACAGCAGTTTAGCCCTTTATTATTAGGCATGGTTCAGACCAGACTGCTTTTGAATGAGGTACAATAAAGGGTAGCCAATCAGAACAGAGCTCATTTATAAATAACTTAAAGTAACTGATATATATAAATACATATATGTATATATCAGTCTTAAAGAAACAAAAACAACAAGCTGGTTTAGTTGTTTAAGGGATAGGAAAAGGTTGAAAAATAGTTATGTAAAAATGAATTACAGCTGTTTTTTGTATCTAAAATGGCACAAACCTCATAAGTGGAACTCAAAACACTTCTATGTGAGTTGGAAACAAAGTAAATCCCCACCATTAGGGACTATACGTTTATCAGTGTGTGTAAGCTAATAGTAGATCACTAAATTGTCAGTTGTAATTATTCGCTGTAATTCCAGTATCAAGCAGATAATAATAATTACAAATTTCCAATTTAGCAGTGAATATCAGCCTCTTATATATTGTGCTCCTGTATTGAGGAGATGGAGATAATGTTAGTATTAGGGAGTCTAATAGAAGTTCTTAGAACATGACCTTCACAGCAGTAATGGTAAGTCATTAATATACGCCTGTTGAGGTTTAAGGTCCTGCTGCCAGCTCAGTTTATTCTTCCTTTTTACTTTTCTTGTTCTCTCTTTCCCTCACTGTACTCACTCACTTTCTTCTCAGTTCTTTATCTTTTGCTTTTCTCTCGAGTGTAATTTTTGTTGTAAGTGCACAGTGCTGTGTGGCCAACCTGGCATTGTGGTGTGATGATCCTATTGGTTTCTGTTGAGCTTCTGCCGTTGCCCGTGTGCAACCTTACCTCTGCTTTCATTCGATCAGTGTGTCGTGCTGTGGGCGTGATTCGATAGCGTGCATATTGTAGCAACTTGCTGTGATTTAATCCATTCTCTGGTTTTGACAAACCAAATCAAAACAGTCTCTTCACCTCTCTTACTTGAGTGTTTTTGTGCTGCGCTTGGAGTGTGTGTGTGTGTGTGTGTGTGTGTGTGTGTGTGTGTGGTGTGCTTACATTGAGCTTGACTATGCTTTAGCGTCAGGATTGAGCTTTAAGATTTTACTCTGCGTGAGTGGGAGACAGCATTGGCGAATCTCAATACCAGGCATTTTTCTTCACTCCTCATTCCATTCTTCACTGTTCCACTTTCCCTGCACCACATTTGCTCCCTTTTTATTTTTGTGTGCAGTGAAATTGGCATTAAATGAATACCCTTCATTTCTGTAATTTCCAGTCAAAATGGCTATTATATACAAGTTGTTAATTTCTCAGGAGACATTTTCTAAGGACATTAGTTACAAGAAAATCCACTTGCATAAGGAAGGTGAAAGTCAAAGGAAAAAGTGGAAAAAACAGGAGTTTCAAAAAGTGGATGATTAAGATGTGGTAGACGACCAAAACTGACACCATCAGATAAACAGCCCTGTAACAGTCAAGCAAAAAAAAAAAGCTGCTGGTGTTCTCAGAACAATGGACTGACCACCCCAGAGTCCAGGCCTCAACATCACTGAGTATGTTTGGGATTACTTGGATTCCGAGAAACAGAAAATGCAACCAACGTCTATGACTGAATTTTGGAGGTGCGGAAAAATATCCCTGCAGATTTTTTTGAAAAACTGCAAGCAAATCTGTTGAAAAATGGAAGCTGTAATAAAGAATAGACACATGAAATGCTGACAAAAATTATATTTAATATCTAATTATAGCTTTTATATTTAATATATTTGGGCTTCTATGAAGTTAAGTACGTAATGGTCATTTTGACTGAAAATTTTGGTCCCGGAATAACTCTGATCAGCCTCCCATAGTTCTTTGAAAATGTTCTTGTGGTGAGGTCTACTACTTCCTGACATTTGTGCTTTGTAGACTTCCATGCTCTAGATAAATGGCCAGATGTTGTCTGCCTGTTGGAGTGGGAGTGGAGTGAGCTTGCTTGAGAATTGAGATTGTGCCAGAGCGTGGCTGTGTGAAAGAAACGGTTTGGCCAAAATTCACATTAACAGTATTTTCCTTTTACTCCAAAAGTAGTTGATCAACCAAGACAGGTTTGATATCTAAAGTGTACTTTTTTAGTTTTTACTTGTGTGATGGAAGCTTACAGCCATCCATTAGCACTGTGCAAACTGCATGTCTCAAAAAGTCTTGTTTATGTAGTTTCTGACACTGTATGACATAAATAAAAAATAGTTGTGATGCTTTAGGCTTGCAGTTTGCATAATGCTATAAGATTCCATTACTTAGTAGCTGTATTAGCCTTTGTAGCTTCAGTACAAAATGAAAGAAGCAAACTTTGGACACCAAACCTTTTCTTGGCTGATCAACTAAAATTGCTGTTGAGATTTTTGGCCCAATTGTCACTTAAACTTCAGACAGGTTGTGTTTTGATTATGAATGATGAGTGAATGTGTGTGCAAGCAATCAGACTAATAGGTTATTTAATTGGCTAATTGCACTACTACAGAGAGTTTGTGTGCGTGTGACTAAAGTATTGGCCTTTGTGTGCTTGGCTCATTGCTAATTCCTTTGTGGCTAGACAGAAAGAGACCCTAGCGTGAGTGAGTGTGTGAGAGTGGGTTCCTTTGGTTCTCATGTTGCCATCCCTCTCATAGGCCAGTCAGACGCTGAAGGCAGCAGCTCAGGTACTGGTACAGGCCCAGGTGAGTCCTCACCACCGCCACCTGTCTGCTGACAGGAATATTGCTCGGTCCAGAGGGGGCCGTATACATAAAGCCTTCATAAACATGATAAAAAAAGACTAAGTCTTGTGGACACTTGAGACGCAGAGAGCAGTCTGTCAGTATGACTTCTAAATTGTATATAAATATGAAAGCATTAATCATGCAGACTGTGCAACAAATCTTCCTGTTGTGTAAGAGTGGGTGGCAGTTGGTGTGTTGCAAATGGAGTGTCCACAGATCTTTTTTCCGGTAATTAAATTGTTCCCTACCACAGGCTGGAACAGAAACAATGGCCAATGTTGTCACTGATGAAAAGGAGATTGTACTCAGCCTCCTTTCACTGTATGTTGCTTTGAGCTGGCATGACTGTGTTGTCATTTATTGTTTATGCATTTCTCCTCACCAAGATAAAATAGCGCTGGAGGGAGTGGTGGTGCAGCGAGCCGAGTGCAGGCCAGCCGCCAGTGAAAACTACATGAGGTTAAAACGGTGAGCAGATGTGTACGCATACAGACACTTCCAGACTGTTAAAGGTTACATTAGGGTTTAATGCACACACATTTAGAAAGTTCTCTCCTTGTTCCCTGTGTTTTGTTTGGTTTTTCAGCTCCTTTTCTAAGAATTCTACAACTGACAACATTAGAATATTGAGCCATTAGAGAGGATCACATTGCACAGCACATGGCCTTTTTTCTTGGATGGTCACACTACATTTTTTTTAAAGGCTAAGCAGCAACAGCTTTGGAACTGTCAATCAACTGCTAGCTGGCTATCATTTGAATCTGGCTTTTTGAGAACGTGAACTAGCAGGTTGCGACTGCAGTGCTAAGGCAGTCTTTACACAATGAAACAATTTCAGTTTCTTGAAACCTACATGAAAATAAACTGCACTTGAATTGCATAATACGAAGTGTCCTGCAACTCATTTGAAATTCAGCTGCAATCATTGCAAGCGTCTCAACATCATGGAACAAGTTTCACAAAACAGCCAATCAAAATGCTGATATTGCATCACTTGATCACGTCAAACGATGTACTTTAGGACAACTGATCTCACCAGATTGACAGACCAGAAAATAAAATAGATTTTGTTTGTTGGGTGGTTGAAAAGGAGACCCTCTCTGACTGACTTTATGCAAGATTGGTAGTTTTTCACTTAGTTATCTGAGCCTAACAAACGCAAGTTTTTCAAAACTAATGTTTCTATTTTCTATTAATGTTTCTTAACTAGCCAGCTAACACTAACAGCATTTAAATGGCTGCTTGGGCCACTTTTTATGCTTTTGTTAGCCTGCTGTTATGATGATTTAAGCTAGAGGTTTTTTTTTCTTCTTCCTTGACTCCCTCAATTGTACACAGAGCTCAGATTCTTTTGTGATCCGAAGGTGTAAAATTTCAATGACATTGTTGAATAAATCTTGTCATTTATTATTACAAAGCAGTTTGTTTCAGTTTTTAATGAAACAGTCGCTTTTAGGGTGTAACTACTCGTTCATGCTGTGGTGCGCTGATCCAGCGTTCTCCAGCAAACACCAGCATTCTAATTCCTAGCCTATTATGGAAATGAACTGTTATGGATTGGGGAAGAGTATCTGAGAATGGGGAGAATGTTCTAGATCAGTGTGAATAGGAGAGAATGTTCTAGAACAACGTGAATGTAAGGAGAACTTTCTAGAACACTGAATGCGGGACAACGTTCTCAGGAGTCACTAACAGGTAGGGTTTGTTAGGTTTGTTGAAGACCAATAAGTCAGTGTGCTCTGGCCTGTAGTGGTTGTTAAGTGCTGTGTGGAGGTAAAAATAAACATACACACAATGAACAGGTTAATCTTCAGTGTTTACTCTCTGGTACTGAGTGGTGTTTTGTCCTGTTGCAGGCTGCAGATTGAGGAGTCATCGAAACCCCACAGATTCTCTCAGCAGCTTGACAAAGCAGTCACCACCAATTACAAACCTGTGGCCAACCACGCCTATAACGTGAGTCTGAATGAGTTTTACATAAATGTGACTATATGAGTATTTAAATCATTAATCATATGCAGAGCATTTACTTTATCATGAATTATTGCAGCTTCAGTTTTCAGTACCAATTCATAGATCTCACATCACAATGAAAACTGGCCTGCCCTTCATGGCTTGTTGTCAACACTGAAAATTTGTGTCAGCTGTTTTAAACCTACACTATCAATCATATTCATGCACAATGCTGTTGGATCAAATTGGCAGATTCTATATATGGCCTTTCTGTTTTTCAGTAGTGTCTTGCTGCATTGATGTAGCACAGCTGGTTATGTTTGAGAACACAGTTGGCGCTGGTAGTAGGGTGTCTCCAGTAGAATTACCAATAATAAATCCAATGATTTATCTTGTCTGACACTACAAGACATAAAAATGCTATTTTGAGGCCGGCTTGTGTTTTGGATTTAGGTTCTTAGAAAGCTGCTACCTTTCCATTGTTTACATGTCAACATTTGTTTATTGACATTTGGGGCAACATTCTTGTTGTTTTGTTTTTTTTAAAGCCACAACGGCATTAGTGAAGAGAGGCACAGATGTTAGATGATTAGTTCTGGAAAACACCACTGTAACTCTTTTCAAAAGGTACCGGATGGAGCTCCATCACTCCAGAGAACACTGGAGATTTCCACTGCTCCACAGCCGAATGTGTGAATAGTATTGACGTTTACTTTCATCCCATGAAGCAGTGGCAGACAGCGTAATGGAAGTTAATGTTGCCCACTGTGAATTCAGTACAAAGTCCAAATAATTAGTACAGGAATGTTACTAGGAATGATATGATAGGAATGACTGTTAGTTCTGACTTCCTGTGGCTTCCTTCTGAGTTCTCACCATCCTGTGGTGTTTCCCTCAGCTGGACTATGAGAAAAAGAAGAAAGAAGAGGGAAAAAGGGCGCGAGCGGACAGGCAACAGGTGCTGGATATGCTCTTCTCTGCCTTTGAGAAGCACCAGTATTACAACATAAAAGATCTAGTGGACATCACCAAACAGCCTGTGGTAAGTTTTAGTGAACTCTAAGCTTAGCCAAAGTGAAAATACATGTCAGTATCTTTTTGGAAAGGTTTTGTTTTTCACCAGATACAGTACAAACATAGTCCTGTATTAAAATGAATTTGAATGATTTCATGATTTATTCATATATGGCCTGATTTGATTAAAAAATATTAAAGATTTGTTTAACAGTGCAAATGCCAGTGCAGGTTATACAATATTATACTAAAAATAATTGTAGTACCCTGCTAGTACTGTGCAAATAATTAGGTAGTAATTTTATATATTTAAATATTTATATATGTTTTCTGAAAATTATATCTAAAGGCTCTGATAAATCTTGCCTGTCCTGCTTCTCAGTTCATAATAAAACAGCAAACTGTGTTTTTTTTTGACCAACTGTTTGTCTCTCACTCTTTCTTTCTGTGAAGATTTATCTGAAGGAGATCCTGCGCGACATTGGTATCTACAACGTGAAGGGCACCCACAAGAACACCTGGGAGCTGAAGCCTGAATACAGGCATTACCAGAATGAGGAGAAGAGCGACTGAGCTGGTTGATTATTTCATTGAGTGCTGATCTGTTTCATTGCCCTTTTATTCCTATTACAGGAATAAGGCTGTCTTACCACAGAGCTGTGCGTTTGGCCTCTAGGCATTTACTAAACGGGCCAAGGTTAGTACAAGCAAGTGCAAGCAGTTCCTGTTTCTCAGTGCCCCGTGCAGAAGGCCATGAAAGTCCATTCTTCAGAGTCTTCTAGGTTTGATGAACTGTTTTTATGAAACATTAGTGTTTTGTTTGTTTGCTGGATTTGCTAGAAACTACCATATAAATGTGGCTTCGGTTCTTTTGGAAGAGCAACACTGACCATGTTGCTCAAGATTACCTGTAAGGTTAGCTAAACCCATTTGTGTTTTTACTTAGCAGTGATTTTAAGCTACTAAAGGCTGTGTTTAAATAAATGTTTTCTACAAAAACTTTGTGATGTAAATGTGGTTTGCCTTTAATTACTTTCATACAGCAGCAAAATAGATTTGAGTACAGCTTGTCCTGTTTTAGGCCATAAGCTGGTCTATCACCTTTGTAAACACGTCTTAAGATTTCCACAATACGCATGTTGCTTGCAACCATTTTATCATGGATTTTCATTTCAAAGGTACCATGCTATCCAAACCTGCGCTTCAGCTTTCTAGACAGTACAGTTAAAGTAGCCAATAACCTACCTTTTGCATTAGGCTTTGTATTTTGTCACTGTCCAGCAGTTTTAATGTCAAACAAGTGAGTATTAGAAGTGATCTATTCACTAACTTACTCCACAGACCAAAGTAGTTTAAGGCTGTATTCACATTACCAGGTTGAAAAAAATCGGATTCTTTTCCTAGTTTGAGTAATTTGGATTTGTGCTTCTAAATCAGGTACTTGTCCACATAGGTAACCGCATGACTGTATTAGGTCAGGTCCCCCTGACTGCATGCACATGGCAGCAGCAGCTAACTAGAAGCTAGTGCCAGTCAGTAGCTGAAAAAGCTATGCAACTGTTTTCTCCACCTTCTCATCCAAACAGCTTGTGAGCCATTCAACACAACTCTGTGCACTGCCAGTTCATTTAGATGTTCATGGCATCTTGTGGCTCATACATACTGATTTGTGAACATGATTATGGAAAACAAATGAGAGCACTAAATTAATTTGCACAGTAAGCCTTGTCAACAGTTTAAATGTGCTCATGAGCTTTCTGTTCCAATATTCGCAATTCCCTTCAACACTTGGATATCATATAAAGCAACTGATACCAGTGGTTCAACACGTCATCACACAAGACTGATGTTTAGTCAGCAGCTTGACTTTATTTTATTTCACAAATAGTGCCAAGAAATCCTATACAATCCTGTGATTCGAGAAAGGACATGGGAGAATAACTGTACAACTGCTGTCTGAGAGCTGACATGCACACAGCAAACCAATACTCAGGCAGTCAACTTCACCAATGTGAGAACTAATTAAAAAAGGAAACAAAAAACCCTAGTGAGCTGCATCTTTTCTTTTTAGCGCAAGCTCTCCGCATGATTTCAGCTCACTAAAAATACTGTTCTCCCCCTAAAGAATGTTGATTCATAGCAGGGCCTCAAGTCTTCTAGATGGACAGACACTGAAATCAAAGTTGTGGCCTCAAAAGGGGGGGAAGGGGGTTAAAAAGAGCTTCTGGTTCCGATTCTGATGAAGTTGGGAGGAATGAGTGATCCAATTGATCCGCAAGCCCTCACAGCCACCGAGCTGATGTCTGCTACCGATGGGGGGAGGCACTTCAGGACACGCGCAGAGGAATTTACTGCAGAGACAACATTTTATTAAAGCACACAGTGCAATGATGGAGAGCATTTCCTGACTAACGTTACAGTGCACTCAGACAGGCACTCAACCACCAAGAAATATGCACTTAAAAAGCTTAAAAAGTTCCTAGAAATCCTATTTACACATAATTCCCTTTTATCACGATCAACAAACGATGTTTGCTGTCTCTAATTGGCTTCTTTAGATGTGCATTGGAGTCTGAACGCTATTAAACCCTGGGTTTGTGTGCCACACCCACCCTATTTAGTCTAGTTTTCTTAGTCACCACCTTTAAAAAAAAAAAAGATCTACTGCAAATATCCTTCATTAAAGTCACCATGTGCTAGTGTACTAAGAACTCAACGTGGAGACGATATCAGATTCACGTCAATATCAGTAGATATTTGCTTTAAGACAATGCATTCCTAGATCACAGTAAGGATAAAATGGCTGGTCTATTCTCCTTTCTTCAATCGCTACTGCCACTTTACAGACAGTTAGAAAGCGCAAGGAAGATTGCTGTTGCATCCTAGTGCAAACCTAGAGGCCACTGATAATGGCAGAAGGTCTATCAGAGGATGCCAGAAACCAGGCTTTCAGAAGCCACACCCTTTATGCTGGTCAGGTCAGAAATTTAAGCTTATACAAGAAGCCATTCAGAGTAACAGCCTTACATATTAAAGAAAAATACAAACAGGCCACTCAAACTTACACATTTCTCAATCTCAAGACCGTCTTTGAAGAAGAGCATGAAGGGTGTCTGGCCGTCCTCACGGAAGTCAAGCAGACCGATAGCGCCATCCGGGTTCATGGATTCTCCTGTGAAAAACTGCAGAGAAATGGGTTTTAGTTGAAATCAAATGCACCAAGAAATCCAGACCCTTATGAGCTCATCAGAAAGCGTACTCAGAATAAAATTGTTTTGTTTCATTGGTCATGACCTCCAAAGGTGTCCTAAGATAGTCATCACTGTACGAGAGGGCCTTCTACTCCTTGGACAATAATACAAGAACATACCAAACGTACCTGATAGTTCTTGATGTTGGCTAGGATTTTCTTGACCTCAGCTGGTGCGTTAGCCATGAAGGGTTCTACCCGGTCAGGAGCCGTTTCCTGCAGTTTAGCCTTAACTCTGTAATACAAATCAATATACATTTAAAATACAAAAACAATAAACTGCACATTATTCTCTATAAGGAAATGAATCAAGGAAATATTCAGTGTGCAATCAATTAAGAAAAAACTTAAGGTGTTCTGTTGTCCCCAATTCAATCTCACAAGCCACTGACAGGACATGAAGAAAGCGCAGGGACTTTTTCCTTTAGCATCAACATTTTAAAACCCAGGTGGCTACAAGACAAGACACTGAGCTGTCAAAAGATGCAGAAGGCAGGATCACAGTGGGACTCGTATGCAGTTTCAAGTTTCAAATTAGGTATGCATTGATAGTGGACCAATGCCAATACCCAATATTTTAATGAACCGTCACTAACTAAATATTAAAATAGAAATTGGGACTAAATTTACCTGAACTTGCATTACAGACAAATGAGCATTTCAAGTGCAGCAATACAAATACTGATGTTTTAGCACATTAACCCAGCATCACCTAAACATTTCTGCTCTTCCAGAGTGACTCCAATTCTATTATGCATCCCTAAAACAAGCTTTGAAAAAGGTCCAAGGAGTATAAAAAACCTCAGCCACTACAAGAGAAATTTTTAGCCTTCAGAACTCAAGCTTCAGTACAAGGAAGCCAGAAGTAATGCAAGTTAAAAGGCCTAAGCTTACATCGTTAACTACAGCATATACTCAAAGCATTTTGCAATAAGATTAATAAATGTGCTAGCAGAACCAAACAGGCCAAGAGTCTGAAAAGTTGAGGGGCGAGGGGGGGGAGGAACTTCTGCATTTAACATTTACGATCAATTTAAAAAGCTCTTGCAACAGGCTTGAACATTTATTTAACAAAAAACACATTGAGAAGTTAGCATCAAAGTCCAGGGACTAGTTCCAATTTGTCTGACTTTGTCCCAGGCAGCTGGCAGGAAAAAGCCTGTGTAACGTCGAATACAACAGATTCAGGCATTTGCATTCAAACATACAGATCCTCCAGATAATGTTGAATGCAAAAGTCCCTTTTAAGGCCTCCAGGGCTCATACCATGCATCTGAGTAGCAGGAGGGACTACTACCCATCAACCAAGCATCACGTCTCTAGGACTTGTGGTTTGGTCTGGGCAACTTGTTTTAGTAGAATAAAAAGAACAGTGTATAGAAACAAAAGAACTGGTGGTGAACATTGCAGCAGCTTCTATTACAACACAATGGTCTGTTTTATCTACAGACAGGCAAATCCATCAGTTAACTTGCACTGATTTTACATTTTTACTAGGGGAAGTTCTTGTTGAAGTATGATTTTAAGGCGGCAAAAATGTTGAATGAGTGTATTTGCTCCTATGCCCCAGACATTGCTGACACTGCACTCAATGAACCCTTCTTTTCCCTTTTTTCTGAGCACTTTAAAAGTGTTACTAAAACTGGTCACTTTCATCGGGGAGGAAGAACAGCTTCATAACCCTGTTCCGTGAAGTATCCTCCCTGAATTTCAACATTTGAGAACTTGAAACAAATTTACTTACGCCTTCATGTAGTCCTTGATGTAGGATGTGTAGGACTTCTTGTCGTAGCTGGTCTCCTGCAGTTTGTGGTTGAGGACGATGTCAACACCACTGACCGTCGTACTCTCACAGCCCTCATCCAAGACTTCTGCTGACGCGTTACCACCAATTAGCGCATCATCGATGTCTCCCTCCGCTCTGCTGATCATCTACCAACACAGAAAAGAGGAGTCACGTGGGAGGCAGGGATGTACATTTAAAGAAGCCCCCTTTCAACATGAATGTTTCTCTGATCGCTTGACTGAACTCCATGAAACAAACTTCATGACCAAACATGCAAGACGCAATTCAAATGTTACAGAAAATTATAGTAAGTTTTATTAAAATTTTATTATAAGTTATAAAGTTATGTCCAAAAGTACCGAGACTCATTCTAATTAGTGAATTCCACTTCTTTAGGGCGCGCTCACTGTTGACAGATGTGTAATCTCCACAGAAAAGCATCAACAGAAAGGCATGCTCTGTAGCAGCCATACACAAAGCTAAAATGCCAAGCCTCTGCTAGAGGGGTACAAAGCACCTGAGCATTGGAACTGCATTCTCGAGTGACCGCGCTCTCTGAAAACTTTGGGATGCACTGCAGTGGTGATTGTGATCCACTAACTAATCATCCAACAGTTGTGCCTGACTTCACTAACGCTCTTGTGGCTGAATGCAATCAAATCCTCACAATAGTCCAATAGCTAGTGTAAAGCCTTCCCAGATGAGTACAGTCGGTTACTGCAGCCAAGTGGGTGTGTCTAATATATTAGAGATGGACAAATGTATTGCATTTTGGTGGAAAACATAAGCAAGCTGTCTTAAACCCTATTCTGACAATTAGTTTTACATGAAGTTATGGTAACGTAATTTTTACCAGCGTTTCTCAGTGATGTCCAAATGAGCCATGTCAGCAATTTTTAATGAACTGTGCACTCCTGTGTCAGTAAGGATTTTGACACCTTTAACTTTCTACAGAACAAGCTGTAGAAATACCTCAGCCTATATTATTCCAGTGGGAATCAAAATGTCAGTAAAAATGCTATCATAACTAATTTTCCACAGGTTTCTTTTGGATGAAGGCCTCAAAGAAAGCACTGACTTGTGTTCTTTGCTGCTATAATCCAAGCAAGGTGTCATCCTATCTCAAGTGTCTTACCTCAAACTCAGAACCTTCAAAGGATGTTTAAAATTATGCCATGATGTTGACTGTTGGTTGTGAACTAAACTAACGCCTATAACACAGCGCATTCATCGAAGGCAGCAAGACAGCTGGTAAGAGTAAACAACCACTAAATTAAACACTTCTACGCATTCTGTTCATTCCTGGAGCAACGGCAGTACATAAATTGAGTAGCCACCCCTTTAAGTACTCATTAATACTCCTATGCTAAGTAGTCATTAATACAGATTTCTTATTGTGTGAAATGGTTATAAACAACACAAACATCCTGTGGCAAAATTATATTTCCCATCTACCCTCAAAAAGTCTACCCTACAAGTTTCAGACTGTACCACTTATTACCCATTCCCGAGGGTCCATGTATGGACCTCGTGCTGTACGCAGCAAAAACAGTGCACTTTGAATTCACAGTTTCTATGATGTCAAGAGAACCAACTCATTGACATGTATACACAAATTCAGCCTAGAGCAATTTGGGCCCCACCCATTCATACTGAAGTTCTACGACCATTTAGAACCAAGGTAGTTTACATACAGCAGTCTTAAACACAGCAACAAGAACAGCCTGTTATACTGTGCGGAACAAAGAGAGGTTAGAAAACGGTCATGTGAAAATGACTTATGTGAACTACCCAAATGTTAAATGGAGCTCAAGTGGAAAAATTAAATAAAAAAATAAAAAAAAAGTGGGATATATGGCCCTTAAAGTTGACTTTAAAAGGATGGTTCATCTGAACGTTGCATTTACACAATTTTCCCCCAAACTTCACTGATCACCCAAGACGTCTCTGCCTCATAGCCTCATAGCTCCATTGCAAATTAGAGCAGCAGAGATTGGGCACTAAACTAATCTTGGCTGATCAGCTATTTCTGGGGGTAAGAGGAGTGGAGATCTGTAAATTTGATCATTTTTGTTAACCAACCTTTTAATACTAGTGACCTCAGAAGAAACGTTGGATGAGCATCTACAAACATTTGGACACGCAGAGTAAATCAAACCAATGGATAGAGAGCGCACACCAGGTGCGATATGGGGGAGGAGGGGGGGGTACGAAACAAACTACGTTAGTCATGCTATTGCGCAACGTTTCACAAAGAACAAGTGAGTCACCGCTTTCTAAAATGTGATGACTATCTAGTTGGTAAGCTTTTCTGAACACCAGGCCCACCCCTTACCTTTCCCTCGACTTCGATCATCATTCCGTTCTCCGACTCTTTGATTTTGTAGATGTCCGAGAACATCTCGTCTCCTGGAAGACATAAAAGAGAAATGGTCACTTCTTGGTCTCTGTCCGTTCACCTTTAACAGATGCACTTAATCTCGAGCTGCAGTGGCCGATGCGGCGCCGCGTTTACGATCAGCTGACCCGTTAAATATATCTGAGGCCTGAGAAACCAACAAGCCGGCCAACAACAAGCATGTGTAGCTCAGCCAGCGCCACCGTAGCCAGACATATTCGCTTACCAGCGCGTATAAATATAGAAGACAATAAACTGGGGAATTAAACGAGTCATTCAACAAAAAATATACACAGTTTGCGTAGCGTAGAACACGCTAACTACATAGACGGCTAACGGTAACTTTTGCGTAATCAGAAAACGCCGGGCAGAAAGCTAGGCTAGGCTAACAAACCGGCATTTTCACTCAACGGCTTAATTTGACTAAATTAACGGCTCTAACGTTACGATTCTAACACACCAGCGGCAATAAAAGGTAAAAAACATACAAAAAAAGCCCTGCCATAGAGAGAACATATGAACGAACACAACTCCCGCTGACTTAGCCGTTGTAGCCGCTCAGCTGGCGCTAAAACTTAGGCCTCAGTCCGCCGGCGCGACAAAGAGGGACATTAACACCACTAAACGAGCCCAACACTGAAAAATACTCACACGCTCGCGTCCCCTAAACCTATCAGACTACATATCTGTTGATTCTCACCGGTGATGAGGTCCTTGTAGATGATCATGGTGCCGGATTGTGTTGAGGGTGTCGGGCAGGCGCTGCGCTGGCGGCGGACTCAGCTGGAAAGGCCGAAAGACCGATTTCAGCTCTGGATACAGCCAGAACGAATGACGTCAGCGCGTCGGGCTTTTCTAGAGAGCGAGCGAGCGAGCGACCTCGCGCGGCTGAAGGGTCTGGCTGCAGTCAGGCACCGCCGGCCTGCTGATCACGTCAGTGCACGCGCTGCCACGAGCGTTTTTGTCGGTTTTATGAGGAAAAACGACGAAGCACGTAATCTAATGTGGGGCAGCAAGAGTTACGCTGAATGTACATTAACGTTATCATACTGATAATAAGGTCATTAAATACGGAAACCTTCAAAATAAAACCTCCCACCACGATAAGACGTGAATGTCGGGTTTATTCGCAGAAAAAAGAAAAAACTCATGAAAGCCGTGCTGAAGACCCTACGGAGCCCCGCTGGTGACATCCTGTATAAATAAAAATAATGCGTGGCCACGCCTTAGTAAGGCGTGGGAACGAGATGATTAAGTCGTGGCCACGACTTAGTAAAGCGTGGGAATGAGATCCTAATGCGTGGCCATGACTTAGTAAGCCGTGATCTCGTTCCCACGCCTTACTAAGTCATGGCCACGCATTAGGATCTCGTTTCCACGCGTTGACAAGGCGTGGCCACGCATATTTTTATTTATACAGGATGTCACCAGCGGGGCTCCGTAGAAGACGATCAGAGCTGGATATCAAAAACTGTAATATTGATTAAAATAGAACTTCTAATGGATTCTAGGAGGTTGTGACAACATACAGTCAACGTAGTACCGATTACTTCAGCTGTCTCATCAACGTCATCACAACCTCCTAGAAAGTTGTCAGACAACGTCATAATTTTCTGAAGAATTACATTTCAGCGTTGTCACAATGTAGAGAGCAGGCCGTTAGGAATAAAACCTAATGGTTTTGCTTCCTGACGAGAATTGGCTTGATGGTTGCCGTTAGAGGCCATTAGGAAACGATCAAATGTATGTGGAATCAGTCACAAAACACCTGATTAAACGATCAGAACCCTTTACACTGTGATATCCACCCATTCAGGAAAACACAGAATACCTTTACCTGATGGTATTAATACCCATTAATACCATCAGGAAAACACAGAATACCATTAACCACCAGGAACCAACGGACACTTTTAATGGGTTCTATGATTTTTCTCAAAAGGGAGGTACATTAAATGTAACTCTCTAGCCGTGTTATGGACGAAAAATGGATTAAGTGATAACATCGCTGAGCAGCAGCAGCCAAAAGTTACCGTGCCGTTGTGCTTCTTCTGCCATTGTGGCAGAGAGTGCATGTGCACGTGACGTCACTAGGGCTGAGAGTGCATCTGGCTAAGAGTGTATGTCTGCAGCCAGGCTCTATTGTGCAATCCTTACCTTGCCTTACCTTCTGCACATCCCTCACACTAGCAAGTGAGGGTGCAAATTGACAATAAACCCGAATACACTACACATCTGAAAGGTCTGTGAACTCCTACTCACCCAGCAGAGCGCTCTAAAAAACAAAATATAATTTCAGTTTAACTGTCAGTATGATCACATCCCACCTTTTAGAATCAATGCAACACCCTGCTAGCAAAACCAGCATATCACTGTTGTCGGAGGAAAACCTCGTATCTCCAAAATGGTAACTTTACAGGAGAAGGAAAAACTTACTTTACTTTCAATGTAAGTCAGTGGAACCGTTTCTTTTGGTCCACTCATCATGAAATTTACACACAATGTAAAGGCCAACAGACATTTTCAGATTATGTCAAAAACTGAAAAATGACAAAAATGCAGATACGAGGTTTTCTTCCGACAGCAGCGATATATTGTGTTTTAGGATGCTGGTTTGCTGATCAAAATATCACATCTGCAGTTATTAGCCAGTATTTATTAGATGATATGGGACAAAAAGACAAAAAAAAAGCGCATTCATTAAAACCAATGAGGGATGGGTGACAACATATTAGATGTTAGTTTTAGGCTGAAATGCCCCTTTTAGTCCTTATTGGTTAGTGCATTCTAGTAAAAAACCCACTGGCTATCTTATAATACTGACCAATACCCTACAATAGCCAAGTGCTTAGGTTAGAAATCATGTTTGCATATTGATATGCAACCCTGTCGTTCGCTTTCATTCCATTATTAGCTACAACCACACCAGATTAAGCCTAAACCTAAACTGAAATTGTTTAAAATAGTGAATCACTGTTGAAACTGCAATGCAGTCCAAGACTAAGCTTAGTCTTATTGCTTGTGGGAGAGGTCTGTGTGGATTTACAGAGTCAGAAATGTTCACAGCGGTGGTGATGGGAACCAGATGTCTGAAGTGTTTGATGCCACTCAAAGCCCCCTCACAGAAAGTTATTATGTTGCATGCCTGAGACACTGTTTTACTAAACAATGAGATACGATCTTGGCCTCACAGAGGCATATGGACGGTACAGAAGACAGGATTTTGGATTTTGTTTCTATTTAAGCAATAGAACACGAGAAGGAGTGTGTAAATCGGGCTGAGCCATAAAACTGCCGCAATATCAAGTTTAGCTCAGTTTTGTCCATTTTTGCTAGATCAGTTTTAATGTTGTTTTGTTCCAGCCAGTCTGTAAAGCATCTTGCAGCCCATTTTGTTTGGCAATTGGTATTCGGTTCATTTCTGGCTAATTCCAGGTTGTTTAGGCGTTCTTCTGTCACAGCTGCCAACTGAAAAGCTTGCTCAGTTTAGTGTAGTCTCATCTTCAGAGTCTGACCAAACCGGCTGTCGGTCAAATGTGATCTTAAAAGTGTCCATTTCCTGTTTGTGCGCAATGTGAGAAGTAAAAACGTTCAAATGGCTTGAGCTTCTCCTACAGCTGTCAAAGTCGTTGCTTAGCAACTCAGCGGAGTGATACAGTGAAAAAAACATGATGTTATGGCGAAATAACAGCACAGTTAGAGCGGTTCTTAACCAATCAGCTGGCGTGGCCGGAACTAACTGTTGTATAAGTATAAATAACGGCTGATCTTTAATTATCCTTCACAGTAAACAGCACAGCAGGACCTGAAGCCAAACAAGGAGTCTCACAGTGATGTACATGTATTAAATGGCATTAATTAACAAAGACTTTGGTTTTTACCGCAACACTCAGAGGGATTTAAGGCCTTTCAGTCAAGTATTACTGAAACACTTTAAACACAGTTTTAATCCTCAAGTCTGGAGCAATAACACCTCTGACCACGTGACGCTGCAGTATTACTTTTTTTCTCGTCATTATTGGACAGCCTGACTTTCATTTCTTTTTCAGTGTGATATCAGAGATGTCAAAGGCTCTCTTCACTGAGTCAGATCATTTGGCTCAGCTCACAAATAAAAGCGACTCTTTGGGCTCCCAAATGGCTCCCTCGGTTCTTCCTCCTAAATTTAGCCTAGTTAGCGATATTATCAATCATTTCAATTTCGATAATACCTTAGTCTACTTTTTATTATTTAATATTGTTTGTTATTTAAAAAATGAATATGACGGAAGTTTTAATGGATGAAAGGAGCAAATAACATAACAAGTAGCAGGTGTGGAGAATAATGAAGATACTGAGCTGGAAAGCTCCAAGGAGATCGAGAAGCGGGGTCCTCTGATTTTCAGCTACCGCAGTGTCGTGAAATATGAGATCTACCTGCTTGGTTTGTCTCAAGTTCTTAATTAAAAGCTCTGTGCGAGTCTCTCCCGTTCACCTCTAAGAGCCGAATCAACGAGTCGAGTCAAAGAGCCGACTCATTCGCGAACGATACATCACGTGTTCAAGCGTTTTCCTGATCCCTAATCAGCTCATTAAGCCCCTCAGGGCAGGGTGTAGGAGCCTGCGCTGTAAAGAAATCTGAGTCTGTAAGCTTCACTAAAATGCATCGTTCCACATCAAATCACTGTTCAATATCTTATTAATTGAGTTATGCAGAAATTTTGAAAACTCCCCTTTAAACGGTGTTATTATTCTAAGAGTGGAGAAGTGGAGGCTGAGTTTTGCTTCCAGACTTAAGAGCAGCCTGTGTGGTCAGGCAGAGACGAGCTGCGCCTTTAGATGTCGCTGTGTTCTACCCGTTTGATTTTGGCAGCAGTGAAAGGCCGTTTGAAAGCAGTCTTTAGTAGGTTTGTCACGACTGCCCAGCTTTACCTCCTTCCAGTGGGAGGGTATCTGTTCCTCTGTGAGCTGAGGGCAGCAGCCTCACCGCAGATCCACTCCAGCTGAGATGAAGTCCTGCTCTGAGCACTGCACTGAAAGGTGAGTCTTACGATGCTAAATTCACTTGAAAAAACATGACAAATTCATTTGAAAAAAACTCATAGCTTTTACTAGGTGACAGCATAAATCACTTTTTGTTTGTATATGCAAATTAACTCTGATAACCCTACTGTTTAAAAGTGGATAACGGACTTTTTTCACTGTCCAGTTTGCCATATATTTTATATTTAGTCCTCTTTCAGAGCTAAGCAGACAGCACTACAGTTCTCCGGCCTTTAAGTTACTGTTACTGTGCTTTTTTATCTGACTTTACACTGTTAATATAGAAGAAATCTATATTAACAGTATAAGAAACTTTAATAATTCTATAACCCTCCTATAATTATATAATTTTATGTTAAAAATATATCACAGTATGAGATATGTAGCCTTAACTATATTAGCATCAGTAAAGTTAGTATGTTAATTAATGAATTGGTAATTAATGATACATGCAGTCATGTAGACTGTGTAATGGGGTGCAGTGTTAAAAGCTTATTGCTAGGTGTAAAGTCATAAAGCTAAGCTTAAGACGGGGTAACTGTTGTAGCTCACCACTGTGACCCAGTTTTGAAAAATTTCCAGTAGTCACCCTGTTCCAGTAAGCAAAAGCGGTGGTCAGGAGGGTCTCTTATCTGTGACCCCAAAGTAGGCTATTGCGTCTATTTTAGTACCACAGAGAAACAAATTCCTGCCTTGCATTTTTTAACCAGGCATGATGTGTTTGCTTGTGATCTGGCTTTTCTGAGGTCTGAGTGGCAACTGTGGCTGTGGTAGAGAGAACTGAAGCCAGCTGTTTAATTTCCCATTGGGAAGGAGCTGGTAAAGCAACACAGTTAAAATGCCCCAACGAGCTCTTTCAGGGTCTTTTATTTGAGGTCTTTGAAGGCCATGTGGTGGCCCTGTGGCATTTTCACAGAGAACCCTCAAAGTCTGCCTTCAGTAGCCCAGTAGGAGTGGATTTCCTGGCAGTGTTGGATGTTGAGGTTAAACTCTTGACTCTGGATTTAATAGCTACTGTTACACAGAGCCGCTTTATTTGCGCCCAAGCAGAAGCAGAGCGCTCCGCCTTTCGTAAACAGTTTTGATTCCCAAAAAGCTCATAACTGCTTATGAGTGTCATAAATAAATGAAATGAAACAACAACAAAAACAATGTTTTCCTGAGTCAACATTTTCTTTTGCCCTAAATTTGAGTTCTGTACACTTATTTGTTCTGTACACACCTTAATTATTATTGTTGTTGTTGTTATTATTATTATTATTATTATTATTATTATTATTATTTTAGTCAGATTTAGTAAATCAGTTTTCATAAGAAAACATTTCTTTATTACTGAATCTGTGAATCAGTCATCTAATAACAATAATAATAACAGTAGTAGTAGAAGGAGTCAGATTTTCCTAAGTGAGTAGTTCTTCGTTCCTGAGTCTGAGTTGTGTTAAGCTTTATGGTGAACTGTTTAACTCCTGGGCTGCTAGTCTAGACATCAAAGCCGTGGATGTAAATGTTTTCCAGATGATGCTAACAGAAGCAGAAAGGTAACATGCCGCTGCAGAGTGCAGGTGGTTTGTGATGACTAGGTGTTGTTTGCTGAGAGTACACTTGGCAAAAACCCCTCAAAAGCACAGAGTCAGAAGGTGCTGATTACTGGAACAAATGTCCGTAAAGTCACTGTGCTCACCGGAAAAGTCCAGTATGCTTTCAGAAAAAAGATCAACAGCTTTAGTTTGAATGTTTCCGTCATTAAAAAAACAACCCATTGGTTTTATTACTGGCTTATACAATACATAGTAAACAGTATACAGTAAGATTTTTTGGCAGAAATTCTAGCCTTTAACATACAAGAATCATACCTAATATTTTAAAAATGAGCAATTTTATTACACTTCATAAAGAAATCTGGGTGATTTGGACAACTACAGACCAATTTCTGTTTCTTTAATTTATAAAATTTCTAAAATGCGTACTGAGTAATCATTTAAACGCTTTTTTTCACATTTTCATATTAAGGAAAGATGAATTTTGCTTCTTAATATTCTTATTTGTGTTGAGCCACCTTTGAAAAACTGACTTGAATATTGTCCACAAATATTTTAAATAATTGATCATTTGTCTAGGTAAATTAAGTCTGGATTTTAGGTAGTGCTGAGCAGTATACTGTCAACATTATGGTATCGTATGATATTTAAGTTTGCATTAATGCAGTTAATGAACCCACTCTTTGTGAGAACCGTTACTCTATGCCAAAAGAATGTCTTACAAATTTAATATAGCTTCCTTTTGTAATTCTTAAGTTAGGGGCCCATATTGTAGCAGACTGAATGAATCTAGTTTTAAAAGACTTTCTCTGCTTGTTTCAACAAGCAAGTGAGAAATAACTAATATGAAATTACAGGATGCTTTTGTTTGTCACTGACGATTACGATGACCTTTGAGGGTCTATGTGGGTTGATTTTTCAGACACATATTAAGGACTTTATGGGCTAGAACGTTTTTATTTTCAACAGAATTTCTTTGCTTGTTTCACTATGAATGAGGAAAAATGCATGCTTGTATCACTGCCTTCTGACTTCTAAGGTTTGAAAGTGCACTGTATGTCCAAAAGTTTGTAGACACCTGCTCATCCAAAATGTATTCTGAAATTAAGAGTATTAATAGGGAGTTTGTTCTCTCTTTGCTGCAGTAACAACTTCTACTATTCTTGGAAGGCTTTACAATAGATGTTGGAACATTGCTGTGCATATTTGGTTGCATTTAGCTACAAGAGCATTAGTGAGGTCAGTTACTGATGTTGGATGATTAGGTCTGGATCTCAAACGCATCCCAAAGGTATTGGATGGAGCTTCTTTAGTGCAGAGAATTTAGTTCCACTGCTCCAAAGCCAACACTGAAGGGGCTTATAATGCTCTAGATGACAGATCACAAAACACTAGTGTAAGCCATGAGCACCTCTTTACTTTTGGACATATAGTGTATGACTGACTTATTTGGTATACAACTGTATACTTTTTATCCACATTGTGCAGATTCTGATGTTTGATGTTCGATGTCGTACAGTTTGCTGGCTATCCGTGAGCGATGGCTGCTGACTAAGATGAGTGTGGGGGAAGGACACTGACACTGCGTGGTAACTCTAACAATAGACGTCTTGGTTTGGGTGTACAGTAAGTGTCGCACTTAGGTAATCCATGATGTCTGTCTGAAGGCTTACTCTATGTCTATTCATTTTCCTCATATGTAATAATTATGCTCTCTCAGGTACACTAATGCAAGCATGCCTTTCATGACCAGCGACTGAGTCAACACCTGTAGTAATCTACAGTAATTACATTCCTCATGCCTGTTGGTTGAGTCAGAACCTCTAGAAAGCCATAGAAATTACAAATATGAGCGCTATGCATGTCTTCACTTGCATCAACTAATATAATGCTGTTGTTTTATGTCTCTTGCAGTCACTAGTAGTAGTAGTGTTGAGTTTTTCTGTTGAGTCCCTGATTCTGTTAGTTTTAGCAAGAACATGAAGAAGTGGCTACTCAAATTAATACTGTATTGTGATCATATACAGATTTAATGCTTATTATTCTAAGTTTGTATGTTAGTTGGTCAACAGTGTGTTGTATGCTGCTTAAATTTAAAGTAATATGTGGGGTGTTTTTCATACAAGTGCAAATATCAAGGTCCTCTATAGAAAAAGGTCTAGTCTTTTATTGTATGATCCTTATCAACAAGCTGAGATGTAATTGTTTTTTTGTCAAAAAACAAAGTAAAGTAAAACTTTAAAACAAGCAGGTGTCTGTTGAAGCTTCTAAACTGTTAATTGTTCTTTGCAGGTTAAGATGTTTAGGTGTGCTCCAGCTATATGCCTGTGGTTGGCTCTGATACTGCTCCCTCCACTGCAAGGTACAGCCTTTAGTCTTAGTCAGCTAACCACTCATTAAAAAATATTTTTTTATGATCTGTGAGTAATCTGTTGAAATGCCAAGTATGTGTTATTAGTTGAGGAAGCTATTGTAGTCTTTGCACCCACAACATGATACTCTCTTGTTGTAGTATAGCAACATATTTAATATTAACTCACTTCGATAATTTCTTTCAGTATTTTTACTATGAATTATTTGATAGATGACAAGAGATAATGGGGTGGTAGTTTTGCTACAAGTAGGGAAGCCATTGCTTTAGCTTCATTTTCCAGTAGCATGGCTTTTCAGCATTGAAGCTCTTTTATGGCTTAAGTAGCAAGGAGTATCACTGAAAGGTAAAACATCTTACTTCCCCAAATATATAGGGGAGAACGGGGTTGGTTGCCACAGTGTTAACAGGTCAGTAAGGGGAACTCTCACCAATATGTAACATTTTAGTTATTTGGCAAAAATAAAACAAACTGGCTCTCTTTAAAGGTGCAGTGTGTAGGATTTAGGGGGACATAATAGCAGAGATGGAATATGGTATACAAATCCATGCTCCGATTCCAGGAAATATTTTCTGACACTGAATAATGTTCAGCTTTCATTTGCTGATAGATGGGTTATCCTAATGTACGTATATGGCAGAAAATGAAAACTGCTACCATTTAGATGTACCAGATCAAGTAGAGATAGCTAGCAACCTGGTGGTTAACTAGCTAGCAATACAAGTTTTCAAGCTGAAGTTAGCAGGTCACCAGTGTCATATATTCAAGCAACACTGTACAAAAGTAAAATTAGCTATGTAAACCAACAGTTAACACACTTCCATTTAACTTACTGGTTAAATTAAATTATTAAGACAAAGCTAGCTCACTACACATTCACTAGAAGGTTTTTCCTAGATCCTTACATTGTCACAAATTAATATGCGATGGGGGAAGTCAAACCTCAGACCATGTCATTTACTTCTCCTTTAAGAAATGATATAGCCCACCCTAGGAGTGTCTTTCTGACACGTATTTTAGTGTTTACTCATAAAATACTTTTTAAAACCTTGACACCTTTTCATTACTTTCTTTGGGGGAGCTAAAGTCTTGCGGGGCTACATATTGGTCAGTAGGTTATACTGTTGTTGTACAGATGATAATGTATTTAGACATCACCATCATAGCTGTCTTAAGGAGCAAGTAGATGAAATGGTAGTTCACTGTACCTCACATGTGTATTGTAATCTAATTGACTGATTTCTTTTGATTGACATGCCCTAGCTAAGGTCACTGCCCCAGCCCAGCTGCAGGTAAGTTTGGGATTACCCTTCTTGCTAGGATGTAACGTGACCATAGACGCCAGGGAAGTCCTCAAACAGGTCCGCTGGCTCGACGTCCGGAACAAGACCGTCCTCCATTACCAGCCCCAGAATTCTGGCAGCCTCACCAGAAGTGACGGAGTGGAGCTGGTCACCCAACAAGTGCACACCAGTGCCATCGCCATCCAGAAGGCCAAACCAGGGGATGAGGGATGCTACACATGCGTGTTCGACGTGTACCCAACTGGGCAGCAGCAAGGAAAGACTTGCCTCTTTGTAGAGGGTAAGGTGATGTTGGTCTTTATGATCTCTGTATAATAGAAATAGAATATTCCTTCCTGCATGACAAGGGAGTTCATCTTACATCACCACTCATACTTGACAAATATGCAACCTTTGCATAAATTCAGCGAACAGGTAGTTGCTGAATTCTGTCAGTAAACTGTACATGTGAAACAGTACTGTACAAACGTTTACCCTTCATTTATTTATGTTCTAGTCAAAACAGCCATTAAATAAAAGTTCATTTTTCAGCATCTGGAAAAAGCCACAACAGGTAAATATAATAGAATGTTGTGCATTACATCTTACATCCCTTTCAGAAAGCTTGCTTTCCGTTTTTCAGATGAATCTCCAAACACCTCCAAAGTTCAGTCTTAGATGTTGGTTACATTTAACTAATCCCAAACACATGCAGTGATGTTCAGGTCCAGACTCTGGGAGTCTAAGAACACTAGCAGCTTCTTTGTTTGATTTGCAAATGTTTTTCTTGTCAGCTACACGTCCTTTTAGACTCATAGTGTTGAGTTGTCTTCTCACAGTGGAAGGATGGAGAGAAACTCCTGTGGATGTTTTCAGATCTGAAGTAAGAGTGGAGCTTGATTTTCTCCTCTCTCTCAAAGATAAAAGCTTTAAGCACTGTTTATCTGATGGTGACAGTGTTGGTGGTCTACCAGGTCTTGCATGGTTGTTAAGATTTACATTTTCTTCATGTCTTTTAATCATTTTTTGAACTCCAGTTTTGGAAATTCATGTTTTTTTTGGTCTGATTTTCACTTTGACTCTCCCTTCCTTTTGAAAGTAGATGTTTTATCTAATCTTCTCAGAAATATTTCCCGAAAAAGAAATAACTTGGACCTAATGGCTGTTTTGACAAGAAACTTGTTGAAAGTGTTTCAAAAGTTGAATACAACTTTTGTAAGAGCAGGTAAAACATTCTCTACGATCTGTTTCATCTTAAGATTAGTAATGTTAGTGTAGTCGTTGTAGTTTCAAATTCACATTATTGTCACATATTTTTAACAATTATTTACAGAATTCTACCACTGCCCAGTTCTTCTGTTATCAGTGAGCTCCAGTCAGCAGGAGTTTGTTTCCAGTTCCCCAGGGGAAATGCATTGAAATTATTGTTCATGGTAATCAACAGTATGATACAGATGAAGCAGACAGCTTAAGTATAAGTAAGCTTAAGTAACGCAATGGAGAGAGTAGCGAGTGTTTTGCTCTGTACAGTTGCCACTAGTGGTTTGGCTGAATTTCAGAGATGCCATAACAAGAACTTTGTCCCAGTGCAGTAGGCCGTGAGGGTCAGGACAGGAAGTGGGCAAGGTTGGGTGTTCTTTATTCAGGTTGTGCAGATTCAGAGTGTAGCTTCCTTTCTTATCATCTTCTATTTCAAAATCAGAAAATACCAGATTACTATGAAAAATGAAGACAGAATTCTTTTCATCATGTGAAAAAGTGTGCAAAATAAAAAAAAAAAACAAGGATAAGCAGCAATTGATAATGGTGTGTAATGGAGTAAATTCCAACACACAGTAATGCAGTAAAAAAGTAACAGGAACTTCTTGTTTTCAGTAACTGCATAAGAACAGTGTAAGTTGGGTTCCTCTTCTCCTGGAAATAGATCCACTCATTGCATGGATTTGTTAAATTCCACCAGAGGCACCTTGATTTTTTTAAATGTGTCCAGTTCATCTGCTGAGATCTTAAGAAAGTCATTCAAAGTGGTTTAAAGTGAAATAGTTCATTGTAGAGAAACTTACCAACTCAGATTTCTTTACAGTGGGTGGTGATAGGAACCAGAGGTTGAGATGTCTACATGTAGTCATTTTATTTACTTTCCAAAATGACCAGTGAACCTACACGTGTCTTTTGAGTTTTTATATGTAATGTTTATGAAGGTAAAATAGCAGTAAAACTAAAAAAATAAGTTTTCTATGTGGACTATTTTGCCTTGGAACACCCTGCATATACCACTTCACAATGAATGTGTTTTTTAAAAATAAATTGTAGGCCACAACTTTATCTCAAAATAATGACTCATTAGGCAGTGTTTTCATAACCATAATATATGTAACATAATAATATATGTAACATAATAGTTTCTTGTTCCTTTAAGCACCACTGTGAACAATTCTGACTTTGTAAGTTTCTCTAGATTAAAGCCTTTCACTCTAAATGACATAATTTTTTATCTAGCTTAATAAAAGAGAAATTTTTAAAAATCAGTGGAATTGTCCATTAACTTAAAGTATTGATCAGCTGAACCAGGTATTGAATGGGAACTATAAATGCCTTTAAATATAATATTCTAATGGCCCAGGTAGATGTCTGCACAGTACTGTATAATTTATCCAATTATTATGTATTTTAGTCCATAAAGTCCTTGATATGATTCTGAGAAAACAGCCCACAGGAACCCATAGAGGTCGCTGTTATTGAGAGTGATAACAAAAGGATGGTGGAATTTTATATTAGTTCTCACTAGCTATTGAAACAAGATGAAAATCTGTCAAATGTGCAGATTGTACATTTTCAATTCATCCCACATTTGTGAGGATATATTTTATTGTATTTAGATTGAATGGGTTTTGTGAAGAGAAATATCCGTTACATTTTGCCATGTGTTTGTCATAATTCATTGTGTAATTAAGTATGTAACTAATAATGTAATTGTGTAATTACTTTTAAATAGTATAGCCAAACAACTGCAATAAGTGTTGACTTCTTAGGGTTAAACCTGGAGACGAGACGTGTCCAGTTTAATTCCATGTTCAATTGTTTCCCCTTTTCCTCTCAGCGAAGGTGGAATCGGTTGGCAACAAAACAGCAGTTGGTGGAAAACCTACTACGCTCTCATGCACGTATGCTCTTTCGGAAAGAGTCCAACAGGTCCTGTGGAGGAAAACAGCAGAGCAGGGTGACACTGCCACTGTGGCCTCCTGCACCAAGCAGGGCAAGGTTACCGTGGAAGTGCCATTCCAGGACCGGATGAAGCTAAGCCAGTCTCTGGGGCACAGCCTACTGACCATAAACCCAGTCCACACAGAGGATGAGGGGTGTTACACCTGCGACTTCCACACTTACCCGCTGGGCTCAAGGAGCGTGACGGCGTGCCTGGCTGTGTATGGTATGTCTAAAGGATGATGGCATGGAGGAGAATGATAATGATTAGTACTGAAGAGGCAGTGATCAAATATCAGATTTTTTAAAATACACATATTTACATGAAGGAATATGACCATCCCTAATGCAGCACGGCACAGTTCAACACCTTCACTGTATTTTACATTGAACTTTAAAGTAATAGATTGGCACCTTTTTCCTCAAATGTAGTGAATCAGCCATGACTTGTTTGGTGTCTAAAGTTTGGTACTTTTTGGTAGTTTTGCGCTGGAGCTGTGATTTACTACACCTGCTCCAGCTAATTAACCCCTCAGTCCCTAACTGGCAGTTTATTGGATACAGGTTGGAACTAAACTCTGCAGGAATGTAGCTCTTCAGAACGGTTGGATACCAGTGATATAAAGCAAGGGTGTGATTGGTATGGTATGGGCTAGGGCAGGGGCATTCAATTTTATCCACAAAGGGCCAGTGTGGCCGCAGGTTTTCATTCCAGGAGAGCAGGGCCTCACATGATCAATTGTTAGAAGACTGCAACCAACTGATTTAACAAGTAGAACTGGGGGTGCAGCTGCTTGTGTGGAATAAAGACTTGCAGCCACATGTAGGCATGCAGACACGCCTGGGGTCAGAGGCCTCCAGGTCTGCCGTCAGGAGGTAATTTAATGGAACGATGGGCCACCAGCAAATCATCATGCACTGCTAAGCCCACTGCTTTTTGTATATGCTTTTATAGCAGAAGGCAGCAAAAAAAAACAGCCAAAGTGAAACTACTGCTTGCCGCATGCCCCCGGTATAAGAAGCTATGTCAATTAAAGTAGGAGGATTGGACAGTTTGAATGCATCATTCTGTATTGTTTGCATAATAGGGATGCCCTGTGTTTTGTGGGAAGATAAATTAACAAATTTCCTAATCTTTGGCGATGTACTATAAGTATGAGTCTCCTGTTGATTCTTTCCTGAATATGTGGGTCCTTTGGACAGATCAAATATATTTTCCTCCCTTTTTTTAGCTTATGGATGCACTACATTGTCATGTTTCTACTCTGTTATACTGGGAAACCATCACCATGGAATTCAGTGAAAACATGACCGCAGTGCTTGTTTATTTATTCTGCAACAGTGCAGCCGAATTTATTGTCTGTTAGGTCATAGGAGGCTCAAGATATTTTTTTTGGCTGCCGTAAGTGAAATAAAGGGACTGTTTTTAGGAAAAATACTTCACAAAATGTGTGTGTGTGTGTAAGCAGTGAGAGAATGAATCTGTACCCGAGCCCATAATCTTTACTGCACCACTCAGGAAAAGGAAGACGTTATATAAACAAACCATCATTTCAGGACAATAAAAAGGAATAAAGCATGAAGGTGAGCTACTGGTCACAAATCTTTTTACAGTCTGTAATAGGCTTGACAGGGCCCGTCTTTTTCTTTAAATAGGTCCACAGGCGCACTTCCTTGTGACATATAATAACATAGCATGGAGTAATGGAGTTTCAGTCAGTGGCTCACAGGATGCACTGGTCATTTCTCAATCCCTGTGCTAGCATGCTTGCAGTGCACTTGGGCAATTCTCAGTCAATGGGTCAGAGTACACTCAGTGCATGCAGATATTGAGAAGCTGCCAGAAAGAGAGGAGGAATAGGAATTGTACCAGGGCTGAAAGTCTCCTAAAAATGTCGACCCTATTATTTCATGATAACACACTCCCTCTCGTGTTCTATTGCTTAATCAGACGACAATCTGGTTTGATAAGTTAAGTCATGTACATTTTCATCATACAAATATTTTATCAATGTTATTGAAGAAAAAATGCATGGTTCAACTGAGGGACCCCCAAAAGAGGCAGTAATTGCATTTTGTGGCTACTGTGAAATGGGGTTAAAGAAAACCAAAATTTCAGTATCGCTATGGAAAAATGAATTGTGGTGTTGTGTTTCTAGTACCATATGTTAACAGAGCTTAAAGTGAGGGGTTTTTTATCTGTACCTGCTCCACTGCTTGCTAAAGTTATTGAACTGTGGATTCTGCCATTGGTCTGAGCGCTCGCCCTTATCCTAAGCCGATAGGCCTCACAGTGCTAGGCTGTCATTGTGAGGCCAGTTTAAGGGGGTTGCTTTGGACCGAGGCCTGTTGCCATGACTGAGCCACTGTTTATCGTGGACACAGAGGACCATTGTCTCTCTCCTCTCTTAATGTCTTCCAAACAGCCTGGCTTTTGTCACTAGAGGATCATCACAAAAACCAAACAGTGGATGGAAACACTTTTCACAGCTTTTTTTCCCTTTTTTGTGCACCATACGTCACAGTGTCCTTTTTTTCACTGAGGCTATAACAGACGTGACCTATGCCTAAAAGATCTTTCATCGATGCCCAAACGTGTCCTCTGTTGTCTGGGTTAAGAGAGAGAAGATGATGCCACTCTTTATGACGACATTATGAAGTTCATCTGAACATGCTAACAGAAGCCTTGCACTATTAAATATAAAGGTTTCTCCCTGGGTCTTGTCTTGGGTGTTGGCTTGGAAAAATCTTTAAAAGACCTATGTTCTGTAATGATCTTGTATTTTTTTTATCTACTTACAACAAGTGTGTTTTTTGTACTAAAGACAGTCAAAGTTAATTTCACATGATTATTTTTGAACCTTATTTATGTAAGTAACCTCTGTTTTGACTGGCTACCCTGTATTGTGCCTCATTCAAAATGCAGTCTAGGCTGAAATACTCTTTATGACTTCAGTGTGAATGAGCAGGGCTAAACCACATTGGCTGGGTGCTAAGATAACATTTAAACTCCCATTGGCAGGCCACCTGAAATCAGCATTATGCAGTGGTAAACAAGTAAACAAAAGCTATTTACAAGGTGAATGATAAGGTTTATGTGTAATGACATGTTTGGCTTGAACATGTTTATGTTTAGTGACTGTATTTGATTTTCAGCGTAAAATAAACCTAAAATAGCAACCGTGTCATCGCCTATACTGCTCTCCTGCAGCTATTTTTATGCTCTCCACCACCGCCCTGGATATGCCATGGTGCACCAATATAGTAGTTGGCAACAATTACAAAAATTAAGTTGATGATGGTTTTTCAAGAGTTACTTTGCTATTATTGCTCTCACCATTAAACCGCCATCCTTTAATCAGGGCATTTGTGTTGTTTTCACAGTCCTGCCCAAACCTGAAGTGAGCTCTGTCACCATTGAGCCTGGCGTAGTCCAGGCCAACTGCACAGCCGTGTCCCGCCCTCCTGCGGAACTCATCTGGAACGTGGAGAATCATAACCGCACACTGGGTTCCTCAGAGGCTTCATATTACCAGCGAGGGGATGGCACCACTATGGTGGTCAGCACTATCCTGCTACAGGCTGGACTACTGGATGAAAAGCAAGTGACGTGTACAGCCCTGCACCAAGGCCTGGAAACAAACATTTCTGTTCATTTGAACAAGAGTGAGTGTAAAAAATATCTTTTCAGTGTTGGACAGAGAGGAAAACAATTATATCTGCATTTGATTTAGGGCAGTCATTATCAGTTATATATGTGACTGAGTAAACTACCAATTATTGAATTAATTGATGATTAATCAAGCAATTGGACTTTTTTTAGAGGCCAAACATTAAAAATGGATTTAACAGAACAAAAACAGTTTCAAAACCCTTCATTTGACTTAAAAAATACAACCCCAATTCCAAAGAAGTTGGGACGCTGTGTAAAATGTAAATAAATGTAAATAAAAACAGAATGCAATGATATGCAAATCTCATCGACCCATATTTTATTCACAATAGAACATAGAACACATATCAGATGTTGAGAGTGAGACATTTTACCATTTCATGAAAAACATTAACTCATTTAGAACTTGATTCACATCTCAAATAAGTTGGGACTGGGCAACAAAAGGCTGGAAAAGTAAGTGGTACTAATAAGAAACAGCTGGAGGAGCATTTTGCAATTAATTTACATGACTGTGTATAAAAACAGCATTTTAGAGAGGCAGAGTCTCTCAGAAGCAAAGATGGGCAGAGGTTCACCAACCTGTGAAAAACTGTGTCTAAAAATTCTGAAACAATTTCAGAAAAATGTTTCTCAACATAGAATTGCCAAGACTTTGGATATCCCACCATCTTCAATACATAATATAATCAAATGATTCAGAGAATCTGGAGAAATCCCTGTACGCAAGGGACAAGGCTAAAGGTCAATATTGGATGCTCGTGATCTTCGGGCCCTCAGACGGCACTGCATTAAAAACAGGCATAATTTTGTACTGGAAATCACTGCATGGGCTCAGGACACTTCCAGAAATCATTGTCTGTGAACACAGTTCACCGTGCAATCCACAAATGCACGTTAGAGCTGTATCATGCAAAGAAGAAGCTGTATGTCAACACGTTCCAGAAATGCCTCCAGGGTTGCATTAGTGTCTATGGCGTGGGCGGCTTACACATCTGGAAAGGCACTATCAACGCTGAACAGTATACAGAGGTTTAGAACAACATATGCTCCCATCCAGACAACGTCTGTTTCAGGGAAGGCCTTGCATATTTCAGCAAGACAATGCTAAACCACATACTGCATCCATCACAACAGTGTGGCTTCACAGAAGAAGAGTCGGGGTGCTGAACTGGCCTGCAGTCCAGACCTTTCACCAATAGAAAACATTTGGTGCATCATGAAACAAAAAAAATTCGGCAAAGTACACCCAGGACTGTTGAGCAGCTAGAATCCTACATCAGACAAGAATGGGGCAACATTCCTCTTCCAAAACTCCAGCAGTTGGTCTCCTCACTTCCCAGATGTTTTCAGACTGTTGATAAAAGAAGAGGGGATGCCACACAATGGTAGACACGGACCTGTCCCAACTTTTTTGAGATGCTTTGCTGCCATCAAATTCTAAATGAGTTCATGTTTTTCATGAAATGGTAAAATGTCTCATTTTCAACATTTGATATGTGCTCTATATTCTATTGTGAATAAAATATCGGTCTATGAGATTTGCAAACCATTGCATTCTGTTTTTATTTATACTGCGTCTCAACATTTTCGGAATTGAGGGTGTTCTGATTTTCTAAGCAAAAATAAATTAACACATACCCTACAGAGAACAGACTTTTGCCCACTTTAATGCACAGTTATTGTGTATTTGCTGTTGGGGGAAAAAAACTAAATAAAATGTGGTTTACAAAATGTTACATTCTAATATTTATGTTTTTTGTTTTCCTTAATATGTGAAATGCAGCAAATAAATAGAAATACTGTACTAAAATTTGCAGAACAATGTCATATTTAAAAGAGGATTTTTCAAATTTGTCAAATGATTTGACCAGTGGTCTTCAAACTTTTGCATATAACTGTAAGAAAACACTGTGGCAAAAAATATAAAAGGATGTATCCATCAGGCTGTTTCTTAAGAGAGACCAGGAGAATTTAAAATATGCATTATCATCATAGGAATGTCCTCTAGGCATTGCAGATAAATAAGATGGATTTTAATTTTAAAGAAAATTATAACAAAGAAAATGCATTTTATGAATATTTGAAGATTTCAGGCCCATTTAAAATATGCAGTATTCTGTTTTCGCTTGCATGCTAGCAGTGTTGTGTTTGTGAACCGTCTCTGATGTCTGTTTTTCTGTTGATTGAGCACTGTAATGTTTATACAGTCAGTTCTCTTTCGGTGTGCTGGGCTGTTTTGTGTTTGACTTGTTTTGTCTGCTTTGCCCGCTAAGCTGTGGCTTACAGGCGTGTTTTTCTTTTTTGTGTTGCAGCTGGCAATACCCACATCATCCTCCTCTCTGTGGGCTGCGTAGTGCTTGTACTGCTCATATGCTTATGTGTCTGTCTGAAGAAGTGCTAGCAACTCGCACTGAGATGGTCAGTAAAGCATTTTCTGTCAAATGTTTAAGTGTCCTCATAGACATTTCTAAAACAGTGTCCGTTTTATCAGCTCCACTTACTATATAGGTGCACTTTTTGGTGGTGGATCATTCTCAGCACTGCAGTAACACTGATGTGGTGGTGGTGTGTTAGTGTGTGTTATGCTGGTCTGAGTGGATCAGACACAGCAGTGCTGCCACTGTGTCTACTTACTGTCCACTCTATTACAGATTCCTACCTTGTCAGTCCATCCTGTAGATGTAAAGTCAGAGACGATAGCTCATCTCTTGCTGTAGTTTGTGTTGGTCATCCTCTAGTCCTTCATCAGTGGTCACAGGACGCTGCCCACAGGACGCTGTTGACTGGATATTTTTGGTTGGTGGACTATTCTCAGTCCAGCAGTGACACTGAGGGGTTTAAAAACTCCAGCAGCACTGCTGTGTCTTATCCACTCAGACCAGCGCAACACACACTAACACACCACCACCACATCAGTGTTACTGCAGTGCTGAGAATGATCCACCACCCAAATAGTACTTGCTCTGTGAGGGTCCACGGGGGTCCTGACCACTGAAGAACAGGGTAAAAGGGGGCTAACAAAGTATGCAGAGAAACAGATGGACTACAGTCTGTAATTGTAGAACTACAAAGTGCACCTATATATTAAGTGGAGCTGATAAAATGGACAATGAGCGTAGAACAAAATGTGGCATATGCCCAAACATTTTGCATGACATATTTTGTACTGTTTTTTCCCCAATATGTCAAATTCAAATAAGTAGAAATGGCACATAAAATTAACTTTGTAAAAGTTTGTTCCCCATGGAGGATATTTTATTTTCACTAATCAACAAGGCACAGAATTCAATCAGAGGTGCTCATGGTACTGTAAGTATACAGTACTATGAAAAGTAAGAGACCACCTTTCATTTATTTAATTTCCAATCAAAGCTGCCACCACGTTCGAGTTATGCACTTTTCAGCCCAGAAAAAAATCCAGAAATCAAAGCCAACAGCTACATAAAATGTCGAATTGTCAGTGTTTATTGTGCCCTTGGACTTTATTACAACTTTTATTCTTTCAGTTTTTTAAAGAAATCTGCAGGGATATTTTTCCACACCCCCAAAGTTCAGCCTTAGAAGTTGGTTGCATTTTCTTCTTACCATGCAAGTAATCCCAAACACAATCAGTGATGTTGAGGTCTGTGTTTGGCAGCCCACTGTTCCTTTTCTCAGTAAGTGTTTCTTGGCAGCTACACATTCTTTCAGACTCATAGTGTTGAATTGTCTTCTCACAATGGAAGGATGGAAACACCTGTGGATTCTTTTCAGATCTCAATCAAGAGCGGAGCTTGATTTTCTCCTCTCTCTCCAAGATGAGTTTAAGTGCTGTTTATCTGATGGTGACAGTTTTGGTGGTCTACTAGGTCGTGCATGGTTTTAGTAGTACCATTTTTTCTTTTTTTTTTAATTCTATTCCTTTTGTAAATGGATTATCTGATATGTAATCTCCTTAGAAATATTGCATAAAAGATGAATAACTTGTACTCAGTGGTTGTCTTGATTGGAAATCAAATAAATAAAGGGTGGTCACTCCACTGTTATGGAAATTTGCCTGCATAGTTGCCTCATAATATGCAGTTTTTAGAAACACCCCAAAAAATGGGGATGGATACTTTTTAAGTCACGATGTTCAGTAACTTTCATTGTAGCATTAGCTATAAATGCTATAACTCTAACTAACACAGTGCCATCATTTTGTGAAGGCTTGCGTAACTTAGCTTCACATGGTGCCACACTTTGGCTTAGCAGCAGCAGCCTCTTTTAGGTGTGAACCTACTTTTGAAGTTGTGTCAAAGCGCGGCCAGTCATTTAGCTTAACCAATGTGTCAGGTGTTGGCTGTATGGTTAAAATGAGGCTTCCTTTTGGGTTGTTTTTGTGTAGCAGTTTGTGAGGTTTTTGACCTGTAACAAGGCACCATTCATCAGCATAGTGAATTTTTGAATATGACAGCAGTTCTGTAAATAGACTTTGGCCAGCTTTGAGTCTCTTGGCATTTCGCTGCAGGATGAGGGATGAGGGTTACAGAAGTGATGTCACTTCCACAAGACGATTTGTGAGAATTCCCAAACATCATTAATCTTTTAATACCGAGGCAATTTCTGTCCATTAATCTACTTTTCTCCATTAATAACATGATTTCTCAATACTGCCACTGCATTTACTTTGGTATGTAAAAAACATAACCTGCCAAACACAGTAGATTTTTATTTTGTTACATGTTACTACCATTTTGAGCAAGTAAGTAAATGCATATGAATATACTTAAAACACATTTTATGCCCAAGAATCACCTAGTTATCAGTAGAAGTCTGCACTTGACCTTAACCTAATTTTAGTGCATTGTAGGGTGACAAATTACTGGACTTTCCCGTTCATTAGTTGTCAGTGTGGTTTTTCAGATAAAAGATCAACATTTCAGATCTGCTTGTGAGGACTCCAGGCAGGAAACTGTATGAGACAAAGTGAAAGAAAGATTGGTTACAAAGATTGGAGCCCTTAGGCACTGAAGAATATTAGTCTGAATTATTATAGGATATACGTAAAGGGGAGCTCCGGCTGTTTTTCTGTGTTTCTGCATAACTAAATTGTTGGGATGAAGTTGAGAAGTCATTCAGAATGGTTTGAAACTTAATGACTTTCTATATGGTGGTTTTGTTGACAGTGGTAAAATCTGAAAAAAAAATGTTTTCTTTGGGGACTGCTTAGCTTTAGAATTATTTTGTCTTGAATCTGCATTAGATTTTATGTGGATTTAAAAAAAAAATAGATTTAAGACCAAAATCAAACTTCAATTCCAAAAAGCTGGGACAGTATGTGAAATGCAAATGAAAACAGAAAGCATTTGTAAATCCACATTGAACTGTATAAAAAACAGTTTAACTATATCAACTTTGTTTTTGTTAATATATGCTTATTCCAAATTTGATGCCTGCAACATATTCCAAAAAAATTTGAGACTGTAAGACTAGGAATATTCTGAAATGTTCAAAAGCATCCTAAACAGGTGATGCAATCATGCTTGGGTATAGTAGGAGTATCCAAGAAAGGCCTAGTCCTTTATGAGCAAAGGTGGGTCAAGGCTCATCAATTTGTCAAAAATACATCAATGAAGAATCTAACAGTTTAAAAACAACCTCAACAACATTCGTCAATAAGCGTTTGCAAGTATTTAGATATTTCTACACTCTAGGAATCTCTGTGTGTAAAGGACAAGGCTGAAAAACCACAGCTGAATGCTTATGACCTTCAATCTCTCAGACAGCACTGCGCTGAAAATTGGCATGCAGCTGTGATGGATATCACGCATGGGCTCAAGAATACTCTGACAAACAGTTAAGATTAAAGAAATACATCAACAACGTCCAGAAACGCTGCCAAATTCTCTGGACCCAAGCTTATCTGAAATAAACTGATGCACCATGGAAACATGTACTGTGGACTGGCGAGTCAACCTTTCAGATTGTTTTTGGAAATAATGGCTGTTGTGTTGTCCATGCTGAAGAAGAAAGGGTCATTATGGTAGGCATAGGTAACTTAACATCCGTGGAACCATCATTAACAGTGAAAGATACATTTTTCACCAAAAAACATCCATGCTTGTTTCAACATGACAGTGCCAAACCACATTCTGGCCAGAATGGCTGTGTAATCAGACAGTGCTACAGGTTCTAGACTGGCCTCCATGCAGTCCATACCTGCCTTCCATTGAAAATGTGCAGGGCATTATAAATACAACGACAAAAAAGGCCCTGAATGGTTGTGCAGGTGAAGAATTCTGTAACAGAAGAATGGCAAAATATTCTGCTTTAAGAACTGGATCAGTTTGTGCCTTCAGTCCCCAAACAACTACTAAGTGCTGTTAAAAGGAAAGGTGATGTAATACAGTGGTAAACATGCTCTTGTCCTAACATTTTTGGAAAGTGTTGAAGGCAACAAACTTTACAAACTATCTTCGCTTTCTGTAAGGGGACTTTTAGTGGCATTAAACTCCACCACTGTGAACATTTCTGGCTTGGTAAGTTTCTCTAGAACAGAACATTTCAAACCACTCCTAATGACTTTTATTTACATTTCAACCATTTATTTTATGCAGACAATTTGAAAATCAGTGGAATTCCCCTTAAAACCATAAAGCAAGTTACAGTTGTTTATAGACTGCCTTGTATTCAAATGACAATAAGAGAAAAACACACACAGAAAACCCAAAGAAAATCTAGGTCAGCCAAGGTACTGTGAAGTGTTTTTGCAGGGCCATATTTATCTGCAGCACCGCAGGAAATCTGGGGAGTTACCACTTCCTGTCTCTTACAAGAAGACCTCCCATCCTTACCTTAGATCATAAGTGACAGCGTTTGAGTTGCTGCTGGCAAACGGGAAATTACAGTTTGAAGAGTCCTTTAAATGTGTTATTGTATTGAGATGTGAAGAGGACGTGGCTGCCTGTGGACGGCTCCTTACAGTCAAACAAATTAGCACTTCATCGTTTGATCTCTGGAGCAGAGTTTCTGGCATTTTGTGTCCAGGAATGATTTAGTTTGCTGAACAAACGGGTCAAATTCCATCATGTATTGACTGCTGTGCTAAAACATGTTATCACCTAATGTGACTAGCTGGTCTAAACGTTAACCATCACATATTCTCTGCAGCAGCCACAAAACACAGAGCCATAAGTCTACAAAACATATTTGTAGACTTATGGCTCTGTGTTTTGTGGCTGCTGCAGACTTAAAGTAACAGCTTGGTGAAAAACCACCATATGTACTTCAGCAGCCGACTCATTTTGTGTTGCCGCCACAACTTTTGTAGTTTACTGCTGAAGCTAGAAGGCTAACGTTACTAACAAACAGTACAATTTAATAGTCACTCGATTTTTTTTTGTTTTTTTTTTTCGTAAATATGTCCCCACAATGTCTCTCAACCTGCTCAGACCACATCCAAGTCTTCATTAAGGATGCATGTGGTTTAGGTCACAGTGTAGCACTGCATGACATATGAATATTAGATCACATTTGTGACTACTGTTGTTTCATTTGACACATTTCCTTAGTTTAAAAATTCAAGATTAGGGCTTATTAATAAAAAAGGAACAATAGAAATCACAAATGCAGTCTGAGGCATCCACATGCCCGTGTGCACGGGAAGAAGAGCTGGAATTTGGCACAACACCTATAGTCTAAAATGACAGCTACACGGTGATGTTTTGTTCATTTTATAGTTTAGTTTTAGTTTTATAGTTTTACGTGAACTTAATGAAGACCTAGACGTGGTTTGAGTGGGTTGAGAAACGTTTTGGTGATGTATTTATGGAAAAGATTTTGGAAACCGCTGACTTCTAGTGTTTGTTAGCAATGTTAGCCTTGTAGCTCCAGGGCTAAACTAAAGTGAAATTTGAACACCAAATGTTTTGGCTGATCAAACTGCATCTGAGGTAAGATGAAAATTGTGTACATTTGATTTTTTGGCAAAACTGTCCAAGTCAAATTTGTCTTAAACTTCTCAGCACCTTGAGATGCAATTGAGCTTTACCAGTTTTAAACCGAAACAATGTGCGGCACAAGCCGTAGAGCATTTATGAGTCTAAATTTCTCTTTTCTCATAAGGGAAAACAAGCAGCTGTCTTTATTAACCCTCTGAGCAGGATTAGCTTGATTTGCAAGTCATGCATGATTAAGTAAAGTATATGTAGACAGGCGTAGCTATCAACTGTTTGTACAAAGGCATACAAGCTAACTTCCCCTGGCTATTTCTAGCCTAGGTGCTGGCCACATTTAAATAGCTATGTTTACACAAAAGACATTATGTCCTTCAGCAAAAGTCCTACATTCATTACAAAATACATGCATTTTTGAGAGAAGGAGATATGTAGTCTTAGCGATGATGAGGAGACGAAGTTAAACCCGACAGTAGCTCGATGCAGCTCAGGACGCTGTAGGGTACTCTAGTGTATCAATGACTGTGGAGTAGCTGTCATTATTAAAACAGTCTCTTCCCCATTATCATAGGATTTTATATTCAAGTTTAAGATTTTTACCAGATATTGATTTTTTCTTTATTCAAGTTGGACCAAAAAGAGCTCAAATTTGACTGCCGTTAGTAACGGAAGAACTACTCTGCTTCTGATGAATCAGCTCCAGTGCATGAAATCAAGCGCCTGAAATCAGCTTACCTGTACCTCATTTACATACCAGTTACACAAAGCACGCTCTAATTCATGCAGATGTTATGGGAGAGAGCCAATGAAAGGACAGCATTCACTGGCTCGTGAACCAATGGCTGTGCTCGTGGGTGAAGTTTTAAGTCAAACAGTGAGTGCACTGCACCCCCCTCTACTGACCAATCTTTTAGTGTTAAAATTATGCAGGGAAAGAATAAAATATGAAATACATAAAATCTTAAATAAATAGTAGAATAATGTGATTGTGAGCATGTGATTATTTTCCTAAAATAATATATTTATTATTATATTCTTGCAGTGTATGAGATGCTGTTATTTGTATTGTTTATTTTTCGGGTGGTGTCAGTAGCATAAAACAAAAGCACGGTGTAAAATGTATTTAAATGGAACGTGGAACAGTTACAGCATTTGTTTATACTAGTGTGCTTTGAAAATAAGTACACCCACCTTTGTACTGCATTCATCTGTGATTGAATATGCTGTTGAATCCTGATCAGATGGGATAAATTAATCAGCCGTTAGCAGAGGGAGGAATGCTTGTCACCGGGCATCTGTTTCCGTAGTGATGGAATCTCAAGGGAGTCAGGAAGAAGGTGTAACGGAAATTATGAAAGGGTAGCAGATTCTGTGTTGGCACACATGCTCTGGGCAAAGTTTCCCTTCATTGCCTGAAAAATGCATTATATAGACAAAAGAAGAGCTGAGGACTTAGTGAGGTTAGACTGTGTGAAAATAATATAAAATAATTTTAAAATGACTTATCTCAAGAGGCGTCATATTTTTTATGTATTTTTATTAACTTATTTTAAGGGGCCCACATCATGGAAAGTTTGAAAGCATTTTCAAATTATTTTCATCCTCATCAAACCATTAAGCGATTCCTCATGCCCTGTGGACGGAGGCATTGACCTCCTGGAAGAGACCACTCCAATCAGAAAAGAAATGTTTCTTCAAGGAATAAAGATGATCAGTCAGAATAAGTTTGTATTAATTAGCTGTAGGGGTGTAACAAGATGCATTTTCATTACAGAATTTATTTTTTGGGCAATTCCTAAAGTGTTTTGAAGGAATAACTGGCATTTTCTTAGAAAACATACAAAGAATGTAAACAAAAGTGCATTATCTATAAAAAAGTAAACAAATATCTCAAAAAATCTGTATTAAATGAATTAAGCATTACAAGTCCATTTACAATCTAAGTTTCTATATAAATTGTGGCTCTCACCTTCTGGCTGAAATGAGTGAGAGGGGGTTTTCTAACGTGGTTCAATCCTTGCTCGAGCAACACGACACACCTGAGTAATGTCTTCACAAATAAGTTAGCATATTTGAGGTATTAGCACAGGTATCTGATCCTTACGTTAAGCAATGTCGGCACTTACTGTTTAGTCTGCTGCTTTTTGCCCAACTTTATTGTACTCGACTGAGAAACCTTGTGGGGTGTTTTTACGCTTGGGATATCACTTTTAAGAATATCATGGATTGTGTTAAATAGAACTATGAAAACGTTCCTGGCATCATCCATTTTATAGCATGAAATCTAACTGTGTTGCAGTTCACTGTGAGTAATGTCTTGCAACCCCTGTATTGGAAAAAAATTCATATTAACATGCCTAACATGACATCCTTAATTAGCAGTGACCCTTCTTTTTAAGGGTGCAAATGGACCCAACCCATGCCAGTAAAATGCCCCTCTTAGTGTAATAGACCCACCAGACCCCTTAACTGTAGGGGTCAAGCATTGAGGCCTGTACTATTTTCCTGATGTATGCTACACATGCCCACTTGGTAAAATATGGTGCATCAGATTAAATCACTCTTTTCCACATCTTTGTAAATCAGTACCTGTATGCTCAGTTCACAGCATCTTCAAATCCAAAGCGAGGCTGAGGTGGGAAAATTTTGGAGTCAACTGTACAGACAGAGCATAGAGGTAGCACAGAGAGAGCCGAGCTAGTTGAAAAAGATATATGATGGCACATATGTGAAACGAGCAGATGGTTTTTGCACCACAGAACTCTCAAATGTGCGTTTGTATTTGTATGGTTACGCACTGCAACTCCAACATCACTCTCTGTGTAGTTGTGGGTGGACTGTTCTTGCTGACACAGTCTGATTATGAGAAACAGTTGCTCTTCTGTTTTTCCCTACATATCACACTAACGCATGAACAGTAATTGAATGTGTGCTTTCAACCACCCTTCGCAAAGCAGTTTGCTGACTTCTTTCCCAGTGATGTAAAGGCAAGATGTCACATTATTGACTGCTCAACATGTTTTATGTTGCATGTTATGCTAGATGTTAATTGGTTAATTGTACTTAGTACATCTGTCTGGAATGTTCCACACTTGTTTCTTCATCCAGTTATTCAGGTTTTCCCTGAATTTGTCACGTCTTCATATGTGTATATGAAGGCCTGACTCATAATCAGCGTTCCAGTTCATTCTATAGGTGTTCAATGGGGTTGAGGTCAGGGCTTTGGAGTTCCTTCACACCAAACTCATCAAACCGTGTCTTTATGGAGCTCACTTTGTGCAGCAGGGTACAGTCATGCTGGAACAGGAAATGGTCTTCCCCAAACTGTTGTCACAAATTTGGAAACATGTAATTGTTTAAAATGTCTTTGTGTGCTGTAGCATTGACATTCCCCTTCACTGGAACTAGGGTCTGAGCTCAAACAGCACTAGACCATTATCTCTCCTCCACCAAACCTTACTGTTGGCGCTATGCATTCCGGTAGGTAGTGTTCTCCTGGCATCTGCCAAACCTGGATTCGTCCATCAGAGTGCCAGATAGTAAAGCATGATTCATCACTTCAGAAAACATGTTTACACTGCTCCAGATGTGCTTTACACCACTCCAGCCAATGCTTGGCATTGCGCAGAGTGATCTTAGGCTTGTGTCCAGCTGCTCAGCTATAGAAACCACATACCACACAAATCCACATAAAATCATAGTATTCTTTCAGTAAATCACAAAATATGTATTTCGGCATTGACAGTTCTTAAGGTTACGCACTGATTTTCAGACTTTGGGACACATTTATTTCCATGAGGGACAGTGATTCAGTCTCACTTCCTGCTCTAAAATGCAGGGCTGTGGCTAAAATAAGGCTTCGCCCAAAACTAAAACTCTGTGTTTTGGTGTTGACATGAAAACGTGGGGCAACATATTTTGAAGTTTTTTAAAAATGTAAACTTGTGATAAATCTCATTCTTTCAACTTCACTTTGAACTAAATAAAAAAGATCTTAAAAGCATTGAAATTGTTTTCAAAAGTTGAAATTTAGGGCTTAAATTAGGACATCTCCCAATAAAGCCTATAAATGACATTTGTATATATTTAGCTTATTACTGTCTCAATTAATGCCTTGGATAACATGAACCATATAAATATCTAAGGTTTGTAATATATATATATATATATATGGAATGTGGCCCTTTCAGTTGTTCAAGTTGTTAAACATTGTTTATACAGTTTTTATCAGATTTTAAGATGATCTGACCCGTAAATGGATTTGATTGTTTTAATATGAAATATAATGATACACTTGAAATTACAGCTCTTAAAGGCAGCTAAAAATACGGACATTACTTTGGAAACACAGAAAACACACCAACACTCTTTTTTACACTCTTTTTGTCTCCTTCTTTTCCTTCTTTCTTTAGCCTGACTGAGAAGAACCAGGATGAATGAAAATGCTGCTATGACTGGACACTAAGCTGACACAGCTGACAGAGCTGCAGTGTGCCTTCTATACAGTATGTTTTATGACTGGGCTGATAGGTCTGTGGACTTTTTCTATGGAATGTTTCTGTAAATCACCATATTATCAGGAGAAAATGGAGCTTGATCATTTCGTAAAATAATCAAAAATGAAAACACTTTTCACTGGAAACACTAAATGACCTTTATTTTGTGTTATATATTTTATAAAAGGCTGATGTCTAAGTTTCCCAGCCAGTCAAGAATGTAATCTGTGCTAAGAAAAAGAAACATTTTCTTAATGAGGCCATTGTTGTCTGTGGTTATTAGATCAGAAGCCAGGCTTATCACAGGGAAACAGTTTTACCACTGAACACCGTTTTTGCCCTCAAGTACCTTGCTATTGTCTCCACGTTGCTAAGCGTGTGCTTTATTTTCTGCGCGTGTGCCCCCACTAGAGGGAAGTGTACTCATAGTCTGGGGACTTTTCCCTCACATAGTCTTCCACAGTACACTACACGTAGTACATTTTACATACATATTGGACTAAATATGTTTGCCTCATCGACAGTTTAGACAGTTTATGTTTAGATTCAATGTACTTACCATCGATGGAACTGCTTGTACTGTTATTTACTTAACTAGCTTTAAAAACACTATGAGAGAAGTCATTGTTTTGCACTGTCGTATTGTTTAATATTGTTTAATTGTTGTGCAAGCTTGTTTATAAGTATAGTGAGTCCCAAATGTGGACTTGATATCCTCATTTTCAAATTTTCAACTGTTACAGTTTTCTGCAGAGTTGGACTGTTTGACATTTTAAAGAAGTAAGACAGAAAGAAACAACAAAACACCGTCTGTCTCATCATCAGCCAATTTCTACACCTAACCCACAGAAATGGTCACAGTACTTTGCACTGAACAACAGGAAAGTACCATAACAAGCGTGAATCGCAAAATCAAAACAGAACATCCTGCCACAGACAGTGCCTAAACATAGCTTTACATTGAATTTGAATTGAAATTATTGGTTAATATACTCCTTATTGTCAAATATGTTCCTTTGTTCATTTTTGTAAACTGTATGAATGATAGAAACCCCAAAGGCAACTGGACAACACATGTTTTAATTGGTTTGGCTTGCTATATCGATAATTTGAAGTTCAAGACAAGCTGTAAAAATGTGAATGCAAAATTAAGTAAGCACCTTTAAGTACTTTACTTTCTGTAGTAACTTCTAAAATTCAGTTTAAGAACTAATTGCTGCAAATAGATCTTACTTTTAGACTTATAAAATAATCCAATAATCCAAATAATCCAAATAATCCATTGCTTTGTGCTGTTTGCATGTGTGCTTTGGCCCTAAAGCTTTCTCTAAATACCGAAAATACTCAGCATTAGACTGGATCCATTTCAAGACCCAAATTTTGTTCTCTTCTAAACTTGCACAGTTGCCAATGTGAGGATGCTTTATTACTGAAGTTGTTTGTAAAAAGAATGTTTTAAAACGGTTGAGTAATCTGTTTTAGCATGTAGACTCATTTAAAGCAGAGTTTTTTTTTAACCAGTAACAAGTAAATCTTAAAAATACAGATTCTTAAATGATACATGGATTATATATACAGATAAGTGAAAAATATTTAATTGATATAGAACCTTAACGTTAAGTGTCTCTTTACAGAAGCACCCAAAGAAAAGTTCTGTAGGAAACCCAAACTGTTTTTTATATTGTTCCCAAGAAGCCTTCCTGTTACTTTTGTAAACTAGAAAGTAAAACAATTTTAGGGAACCAAAATCATTGAACTTGAAAGTAGGACTTTTTTAAAGCAGGTTGTGTTCGAGTGTTCACGGTCACTCATTAACCACAAAGGATGAACAGTGCTCTCTACACTCCACTCAGAAACATCTCTGCAGTGCTAAATGATCTACCTGAAATGTATCATTTGTGAGGAAAAATCTTTGAACCAAACACAACAAGATGCTACAGTTGGTCTATTGTATGCGAGTCTCACTTTTATACCCAATTTTCATTGTTTCTTCTCAAAGCCATGGTGCTGTAAGAGTACAGGCCATTGCGATATTGAAACTGACCAAAGATTGTACAGATGTTGTTGCTTAAAGCGGCAATTTTCACACAAAATTGATCTACCCACTCTCTTCTCACAAATGTGCTCTTTTGTGGCTAATTTTGCAAGAAACATAAACATCAATAAAAAATCCCACTTAACCAAATGAGAAGTTGTTGCATAGAAACTAGTTTGGTAGTGTAGCATTTTGAACTTGAAACCCAATGTTATGTGATATCTAAGCTCCCACAGAGTGGAATCTAAACTCCTCTAAACTCCTCTAAATTCCCTTTCCTGAACTCCTCTAAATTTATTAGGTTGAATTACATTTTTGTCAACATGCTGTAAAGCTTGTCCAACTTTGCAACAGTTGCCACTTGTGGGGGGGAGTATGGCCCGACATCACCTTGCAGATGTTTTAGCCCCTTGAAACCAACAATTTTAATTCTAAAAAGTAAAGGAATGCTTATTTGGAGCTATAGAAAAAACACTTTTGGTTTCCTAATGAACCTTTCAGTGGGTGCTTCTTTAAAGAGACATTTTTTGTGTGAAGATTAATAAACCTTCACTTAATGTAAAGGTTCTATACCAATACCTGTACCTATTTCACATATCTGTATATCTAATCCAAGTATCATTCATGAACCTTTATTTTTAAGTGTGTATGGGTCTGTATATGTACTCACACTTTTGAATAATTTACTGTAGTTATTATAATTTAATGCATTGAGTGACAAATCTTAGGATTAAAAAGGGTTGAAAGGGTCAGAAGGACTGACAGTAAGTGTGATGGTAGTAAGCTCCACTGATTTTACAGCTTTCGTTAGCTTAAAGGTGGGGGTTTTTCAAATGCTTTCCCCTAGGGGACCATTCATCGCACACCTTGGTGTTTTCCCAGATCAAACCCTTGCGAACCAATGTATCTCAAACTAAACTACTCGCTATCTCTTCATGAACTCAGGTGTGCAGCGAGGCCAACACCCAGAACAGCAGTCAGTACCTTTACCCATGTAAAGGACTAGGTCAGATAGCAAGGATAAAACACGAGCTGTCAGTCACCTCAGGCCTGCATGCTCTGCACTCATGCTCCTGAAACCCGCAGATCATACATCCTCTACCACAGCATCCTCTGAGAGCCGACTTAGCTGCCTAAGGTACATACAGTCTTTACTTCAAAGAGACTCAGACATAATGAAGGATCTTTTGTTTGTGACAACACAAAACCTCACAGCCAGACACAATACAGTCAAACTGCATGTGAAACGAGTTCACAGAGGAACCTCTCTATTAAACTAAAAAAGAAGTCCAATTCCCTGATTTAGTCCTTTGACCAACACTTTAACGGAACTGAAAATGGTTTTGAACATTTGAGGGGTAGAAGGGTGACCTGTACTGTCATAGCTGTCTCATCACTTCTCTATTGTTAAGGCTAGATGGGATTTCTTTTAACCATTAAACACAGATCTAGGACCACAGTTCACTACTCAAATCACAATCAACCATTAATCTCTGCAGCACTTTGGCCCAGAAGGTCCCCAGTTTGACATGCCTGCCTTAGGAGAACCACTAAAAATCTTTTTCAGCTTATGACTCCTTTAAAGACCTATTTTTGTGAATGAGACGTCTGAGTGTGAAGAACGTCTTTAACATTCAAAAGAACCTTCACACAATGAAGTAAGAATTCTGTACCAAATAAAGTTTTTCCTAGAACAGTTCATCCAGGTTATCAGATGGTATTAGGGTCATACAGTGAAACTTGGTAAAATCCATTTTATGGTCATTTAATCACTAACTTTATTGAAACAGAAAAGTTTTATCATTGTTTTTACTTATAATATATCCAACCAGCCTGGAACGGGTATAACTGAGCTACTATATGTAATGTTGATAAGGATAAATGAGAGGTAAATCTCTATTTTGCCTCTGCACACCCTGCATGAATTAAAGACATAAAAAACACACAGTTCAGACCAGAAGCTTATCTCAAGACTATTATAAATCAGTGTCTAAGACACCAGAAAATGTTTGTAACCCTTTTGTGTGAAAGCTTTCAGTGAAGTAGCTTTTAAAGTTATTAAAATGTTTCAGACGTCTGGTTCCTGTCACAACCACTGAGAACAATTCTAACTCGGAAAGTTTCTGTAGAATGGCCAATTTCACATCCAAACACTCTGAATGACTGTTTATATCTGAATTATGTGGATATTTTGAAAAATCAGTGGAATGACTTACAGATATGTGCCATACTCATACTCATAACCATAGAAGAACCACTTTTGGGTCCTTGAAGAACCTTTCCATAGTTGTTTTTTTTAAAGAACATTTGTGTAAATGAGATGTGTGAGTTTCATGAACCAAGAACTACCGAGATGTGTGAGTTTCATGAACCAAGAACCACCGAGGGGCCTTCATGTTTAAGGGTGTACAGTGTAAAAAGTAAGAATGAAGTAATTTACTAACGTGTGCCCACACATACAGATACAATGTGAGAAATAACAAAGGAATATCTTACTAATCCCTTAACAGGTTGAGGTCACACATAATGCACACCACTACAGGTGAGAGTCACGCCACGGTGTGTTCCATTCGTCACACACTCCCCTTCCTCACACAGGAAATGTAAACATGCATTGTAGTACTTGTGGGCTCTTTGCTTTTGTGTTGCACAAGGGCGTCCCATCATGCACTTCTAAAGCCAGGCTTGGTGCTGAGAAGTTGTCATATCTAAAATTCGCCCATACATTATCCAATATACATCTGTTCAATCACACCTAAATAATTATTAAACATTATCTTCAGTATGTTTGCTGTCATGTCTTCAGTTTTTAGCTTTTTTACACCATCTAATAATGTCAGCTGCTCTTTACATTGTGTTAAAATTTCATGATCCAAATTTACTTGGGATAAAATCTTGTTGGCTTAACATACGTTAAGACAGTGACAGCCCACATGATCTAGTCAGTGGTGGTCCTATGGTGGTTCTTTTTCATTGTTGAATTGCGTGGAAGAGGGGCTAATCAATTATGAAATTACAGATGGGCTACAGTCAACAACATGGAAACATACAAAGTGCAAATACAGGGTTTTTGATTGTAATGAAATGGTTAAAGAGAAAGTGTAGCTACAGTATCACACAAAAGCCACAGACTACCCTTTTGTTAATTCTGAGAAAAGGAAATAGACAAAAAAAAGAAGAAGAAACTTTGTACTAGAACATTGAAACTGGACACCTGTGATGTGGTGTAAGATTTAATGGGCCGATAAGTTTAATTTGATGTCAGACCTCAACATCACTGAATGTGTTTGAAAAATATCCCTGCAGATTTTTTTGAAAAGCTGAAAGCAAGTCTCCTGAAAAGAATGAAAGCTATAATAAAAGTAGCAGGGTTGAAAGACTAAATAATGAAAGAATATGAATATTGTGGAGGCTTCTGCGTAATTTTCTGTTAATTATGTCTTCTTTTTTTTTTCCTGAATAACTCATACTTAATGGCTGCGTTGACTGGAAATCGGATAAATCAAAGGGTGGTCTCTAACTTTCTAAACAGTATTGTAAGTGTTCCCAAAAAACTGGAAATAATTATCAGCATAATTAAATGATTCTATATCAGTAAACTTTAGCAACCTTACTTTTAAAGAGAGGATAAATGTGGGTCCAGATCTTGCTGTTATATCAGGGTTGATGCAGTAAAGATCACATGCAGTCAGTGTTCTGATCCCACCAATTCGATCAACTTCAGAACATGGAACCCAAAAGTCTTACAGAATTCAGTTTCACTTTCTAAAGGCCTCTGACATATGTGTGGGGGCATACATTACAGGGGCATGCATGCTGTTGGACAGAGTAGGAAGTGTTGGGTTGTTGGCGTGTGGTTACTCACTGTGGGCTTTCAGCCACGAGCAACAGGGGAACTGCTGGGTTTTGAGCTTGGTCTCCTGATGATGGGACAAGCGTTTGGCCGAGTGCTTGGAACTTGGAACAACCGAAAACTACTTAAGTTTCTTTGTCTAAGAATGTTTAATATACTGTAAAATGATGTGTTGCTTTAATTCAAAAAGTAAATAACAACTTGAAGGGAATTTATAAACTGTACCGTTCAGAGTCCACCCTTTTTTCATTTCCAGTGAATGTGACCAAATAAAGTACAAATGACTCATTTTCAGCATCAGGAAAAAACAAACAAACAAACAAAAACAAAACACATTTAGCAGAAAAGTCTCAACTGCTAAATATAATATCAAATAATTCATAATTTGTTACAGCTCCCAATCTTTATGAGTGACTTGCTTTCACTTTTTCAAAGAAACTTGCAGGGATATTTTTCTACTCCTCCAAAGTCTAGCCTTAGAAGTTTTTTTTTTCTGCTTCTCAAAATCCAAGTAATCCCAAACATATTCAGTGATGATGAAGTCTGGACTCTGGGGCAGTCAGTCCATTGTTCTGAGAACACCAGCAGCTTCTTTGTGTCATTTGCAGATTTTTTCTTTTTTGTCTATTTCCTTTTCTCAGTAAGATCTTCTTGACAGCTACACATCCTTTCAGACTCAGTAATCTGAAGTAAGAGTGGAGCCTGATTTTCTCCTCTCTTTCAAAGCTTTAAGTGCTGTTTATCTGATGGTGGCAGTTTTGCTGGTCTACCAGATCTTGCACGGTTGTTAAGGCTCATTTTCTCTGCATCTGTTAATTATTATTTTTTTAATTTTCCTCTCATTTTCATCTTTCTTATGCAAGTAGATTGTGTTATATCTTATCCCTTCAGAACTATCTCCTGAAAATGAATAACTTATAATTAATGGCTGTTTTCACTGGAAATTAAATAAGATCTTCTTGACAGCTACACATCCTTTCAGACTCCGTAATCTCAATGACACGGCTTCTGAATTTTGCATAGAACTGTATAGATTGCGCATTTTTTAAGTTGAAAGACCATACTTGTTTCTTTTTAATCACTAACAATCTCAGGCCATAGTTACTGTCGTAAAATTGCTGCCTTTATGTACAAAACACATGAATGTTCTATGCAATGAGGTTCCATCACAGTTGCTCAGTGTGTGGATGAACAGTCTTTGACAGTTCTTGTAGAATAAGTGCACAATTCACAGTTCTGATCCAGGACCAGCTACTCTTATTTGAATCGAAACCCTAACCACTATAAAAGAAAACACAAAACTGTTCTCAGGTCAGCCTAAAAGGTCCATGCAACATTAATAGTTAGGAGAGCCGAATGGCGGAGTATTCGGAGGTCTCCTCTGGATGACTGATTCGAACTTGCCCCCGTGACAAAGCCTTGTGATTCAGAGAAGCGTAAACCAGAGGATCCTCCTCTTCCTCTACCTCCATGTTGAAGCGGTCATGGTTCTGGCCTGGCTTTGCCATGTGATTGGCTGGATATCTTCTGGAAGGGCCGTCTCTCTGAGATGACACTCTAATAGGAGCATTATCGTAGATGCAGGGTGATGGTGGGTTGAGTTGGGCTGGAAGACTGTGGGTGTTGCCTTGACTTATGTTCTCATGTACAGGTGGAGTAAAAGGAGGCATTTGGCTCGCGTTCGACTGCAGACAAAGATGAATATGTGGTGAGATACTGTGACTGTTCATGGAAAGTTTCAGTAGAGAACTTAAATCCACTGTTAGTAATGCAAGAAAATAAGATTAAAATATCATCGCTGTCATTCCAAAACCTCGTTTTAATCCTTTGACAACACCAGTTGCTTCCTGCTGTGTGTACATTTCAGGAAAACTAGAAAACAAATGTGCCTAATTTCCTTTTTAACCCCTTCATGTACAACAACTAAATTTAGAACGATACAGATAAATTCTGCAGGACTTGTTCTGTTCAGTCTGAAGTGAGAAAGTTTTGTATAGTTACACAATCCGATAGTAATCGTTAGAATTATGTTGATTACATATAGTTTTCGTACTTTCATTCACAATCCAAATTTTATGTTGTTTCACAAAATCAGTCTTGTGTTACCAATGATGTCTTATGATAAATGAAGCAATAAAATTAACTTTTTATCCACATGGTTCGATCGTTTTAAAATGTTTCTTTGGATTGTGCTCTGGCAAGCTCAGAGAACGTGGACTAAACTTAAAATTTCAGATTTGGTCATTCATGGGTTAATATCATTAACATATGGGTGTTTCTGCAAATACAGGGACTTTTGGCTGTGCAAATGTTTGGACAACGAGCATTTACAAAAAATTCATTTTTGTTATGCAGTAAGGATGTGCTGCGGGAAAATTTATTTTTAGTGTTTTTAAATAGCATATAGTGTGGTCTGCTATATTTGCCTTGTCATACAATTTCACTTATTTGAGTTTAACTTGAATAAGTATGATAAGGACATCAAATATTAATATGTAATATTTAGTTAGCCTTTTCATGAATCCAGAGACGCTGACATTTCACACACTTTGTGATTTTGCTCGTTTGCTTACTTATGCTGTCATGGAAACTAGATTTTTTTTGGCTTTGAAAACATATTTTAGGTTTTTTGTAACCGTAGAAATGTGGGACAGAAAAAAGTCATATTAATATCTTACTAAAAACAATATTTATTACATTTTTTAATTTAATATTTATGCAATGAAGATTCAATGGCAGGAATCTAGTCTTGTAATTTCGTAATTGCTTTTTATGCAGGTAATTGTGCAGCATGAACTGCTGCAATGGAAATTTAGAATAAAATGTTCTTCATAAATTGCATAAATTCATTAAATTTGGAATCTATTTTGTGAAAATGAGTTATGACACTAATAAGATATTTTCTATGCAATAGAAGCATTAGAAATAATAACACATATCCAAAACTCCACAGCTGAGACTTGCAAGTGCAACACCCATATATTAAAGTAATAAATTATTAAAGTATAAAGTCTTTTCTTTTCCTATAAAGTTAGCATTTCAGAGACACAAGATCTTGTTTGACAGGGACAATATGTGTGCACTGTACCTGACTGTCAGCTGTTTTCTCTTTCCTGGATTGTTTCGGTCCTATTTAAATTTAACAGAAAATCATCTCAGTATGACATATTTTTACATGTACAGTATATTAATGAATTATAAGTTCACTATGTGGAATAAAACTTTATACCTCGGCACTGGATGATGAGTAGAGCCACAACCAGCACTATGAGGACCAGCCCAGCAATTCCACTGCAGATATAGACGTACGGCCACAGCTCACTCATTGGACTGTCTGAAGGCTCACTTATAGAACTGTCTAAAACAGGAAGTATTTTACAGGGAGAGTGCTTAAAGGAACACATCATCATTGTTAATGAAGCAATGCAAACAGTTTATGGACGTTTGTAGAACAATATACAAATGAGAACATGCTAACTGATTTTAATGACTAAATATGATTGTACCACTCAATAAACAGATTGTACAATTTTATCACCATTAATTTGTTTATTTGTGAAATGAGGTGTGAAAATAAGTCTCTTACTTGTTGTCCTGTTTTCATTGCTGACAACGTCAATGTATGTTTTAGAAGCTGAAAGATTACAGATAATAAATAAACAAATAAATTATGTGGGTTCATGTTTGTATTTAATCACATACATATAAAAATATATGAAGCATTATGTGTTTACCTGTAACAGTAACATTGATAGTATGGCTTGTAGTGGCTACAGGTCCATCAGATTTACACCTGTAAAGTCCAGCATCCTGCAGAGATAAACTCCAGAAAATCAGAAAAAACATTCTTTCATTCTCAGTAAAATTCCTCCATTCTGTTGCAGTGTAATTGCACTGATTCAAAGGTCTGCAGTGATCAGTGTCTTCAATTTTACACCATGACACTGATAAGTTCTTCCAACAGTGTGATTCAGTGATAACAGTACAGTTGATCTTCAGAGTCTCTTTTTCAGGAAATTTCCACACTGTGTTCCGAGGAACTCTGAGAGACGGAATACAGTCCAGAACAGGCTCTATAAAAGACAATCAGAAGAAGAAAGCAAGAGACATTACTATTTACTTTATAAGTTTATAAAATTTCAGATGAATGGCTAACATACAGTACTGTGCAAAGGTCTGAAATCATTCCTTCAGTTAATTAGTTTCCAGTTAAAGCAGCCATTAAGTAAAGGTTGTTCATTTATCTGCATCAAGAAAATGCAGAAAATATATATTTAACAGAAAATTACACATTTTTTTTTAATTACACATTTACACATTTCTGGTAAACCCCTGTTTTTTCACTTCTTTTCTTTTGATTTCCCCCTTCTCAATGGCCGTTTTGACTGAATAAAACAATAAAGCTGATAGGATACAACTAAATGTAAAGAAAAACAAAGAGTTTGGTAAGGGTCAAGCTGTGTGATACATATAAGGTGATTCAATACAGTGACATAAGCTTAAGGGGAGCTTACTACACAACCCAACTGTATACCAGCATCTGCACCAGCATTAAGGTTCTCTGGAGAGACGCCACAGAAGAACTACTTTTAATTCCCTCTTCTGATCCCTCATTTTTGTAAATGAGATGTGTAAGTGTGAAGAACCATTCTAAAGCTTAAAGAACCATCTCATAAAGTAAAGCTTCTACATCAATTAAAGGTTTTTCCTAGAAACACACATCCAAGCCAAGAACCATTAAGGAACCTTTATTCTCAGTAGTGTACACACCCCCACAGCAGACACGTAAAAGCAGTCGAAAATTGCTCTCTTCATTTCTCAAAATCACACATATTTGTGACACTTCTTTCAGTGGGTGTGTGTTTTGCATTAGAAGGGGGAGTTAGTGAGGGGTGAAGGTTAGCCCCCACCTCTTCCATCTTGATCTGAAAAAACACACATCCTGTTTTTTTTAACACACTCTTTTAGTGTAAGACTGAAAAAAGAGAAAGTTCCCAAAATTTTGAGGACATTACAATAAGCTCTCTCTCTGAAATGTTTTAGGGGAACTGAAATCTTTCAAGCATAATTTGAATATCCATGTAGTTCTGTAAATAAACATGGTGTAGAGCTTATGATTTGTATATATATATATATCTATATATATATATATATATATATATATATATATATATATATATACAGTCATGTGAAAAAATTAGGACACCCCATTAAATATTCAGTTCTTTATTAATACATGTTCACATATCAATGTCTAATCACATATCAATGTCTAAGTGATTTAATTGCAGTAAACAACAAAAATTAACTCATTATTTTACTCATTAAACAAAAACTTCAATAAAAATGCGTATTTTAACTGAGGAAAACTTCAGTGAGACGCTTCGTGTAGCCATCTACCAGTCTCTGACATCGGTCTGAGGAAGGTTTGCCCCACTCCTCAACGCAGAATTCTTTCAGCTGTGAGATGTTTGAGAGGTTCCTTGCATGTACAGCCCGTTTCAAGTCACCCCACAGAATCTCAATGGGATTAAGATCTGGGCTTTGACTCGGCCATTCCAGGACTCTCCATTTCTTAGTTTTCAGCCAGTCCTTGGTGGATTTACTGGTACGTTTTGGGTCCTTGTTATGTTGCAGGGTCCGTTTCCGCTTCAGCTTTAATTTTTTTCCAGATGGTCTCACATGTTCCTCAAGCACCCTCTGATACACAGTAGAATTCATGGTGGATTCTATGATGGTGAGCTGGCCAGGTCCTGCTGCAGTAAAGCATCCCCAAACCATGATACTTCCACCTCCATGTTTCACAGTGGTATGAGGTTCTTTTCCTGGAATGCTGTATTTGGTTTACACCAAACATGCCTTCTGTTATGGTGTCCAAATAATTTAATTCTAGACTCATCTGTCTAAAGAACATTATTCCAGAAGTCCTGGTCTTTGTCTACGTTACCTGTGGCAAACTTTAGTCTGGCCTTCATGTTTCTCTTAGAGAGCAAAGGTTTCCTCCTTTCACACCTCCCATGAAAGTTAAACTTGTGCAGTCTCTTTCTGATTGTAGAGGCATGCACTTTCACATCAACAGTAGCAAGAGCCTGCTGTAGTTCCCGTGAAGACATTTTAGGGTTTTTGAGACTTCTTTTAGCATCTTGCAGTCTGCTCTCGAGCTAAACTTGCTTGGATGGCCAGACCTGGGCATGTTGGCAGTTGTTTTGAATGTCCTTCACATCGACTATTTTCTGGACAGTGGAATGGCTGATTTTAAATTCTTTTGAGATCTTTTTAAATCCCTTACTAGACTCATAAGCTGTTACAATCTTCTTTCTGATGGCCTCAGACAGCTCTTTCGATCTCACCATGGTGTTCACTCTCGCTTCAACAGTCAGGAGCACACCAAACTAAATGTCTGAGGTTTAAATAAGGCAAGCCTACTTCAAAACGCTGAGTAACAATGTTCTAATCATGTGCACCTGATGTGATACAACTGTGTGTGATTTTAGCCATTTTAAGTGGGAATAAATATGTTTCCTAATTTATTCCTCACCAGAAATTGCATTTTTTTAAAATTACACTTTACAGAAAGTTTTAAAAAGTCTTCTCTTCAGTTTTAATTGTTTAGTTATATTACTTGATAAGTTGAAAAGTTGAAAATATTTTTTGGACCTTTGACACTGAAATCCTTTTGCATGAGGTGACCATGTGCTAATTAAATTTATTTATAAATAATTCTGTATAATTATGTATATATTGAAATTTTGTCACTACCAAAACAATCATAACACTACCGAAACATCAATATTGACAATTTCAGCTGAATTTTGAGCATACCTCAAAAACACTAGCCAGCACATCGCTAACAAACACAGCTGTGAAAAGTTGTACACACATAAAATCATAATATTTCTATTAAAACACAAAACATTTTACAACCCCATTTCCAAAAAAGTTGGGACGCTTAGCAAAATGTGAATAAAAACAAAATGCAATGATGTGCAAATTACTTAAACCCTATATTTCACTGAAAATAGTACAAAGATAACATATCAAATGTTGAAACTGAGAATTTTTATTGTTTACAGAAAAATGTATGCACATTGTGAATTTGATGCCAACAACATGTTCCAAAATAGTTGGGACGGGAGTAACAAAAGGCTGGTAAAGTTGTGTAATGTTAATAAAACACCGGGTGGTTAATTGCCAACAGGTTAGTAACATGATTGTTTATAAAAAGATAACCTCAGAGAGGCTGAGTCTTTCAGAAGTAAAGATGAGGAGGCGTTCACCACTCTGTGAAAGACTGCACGGGCAAATAGTGCAACAATTCAAGAATAACATTTCTCAACATAAAATAGCAAAGAACTTTTGCTTTTCATCATCTACAGTACATAATAACATTAAAAGATTCAGAGAATCTGGAGAAATCTTTGTATACTGAAAACCAGTATTTGCTGGCCATTATCTTTGGGCTCTCAGGCAGTACTGCATTAAAAACAGACATGATTCTGTAGTGGAAATCACTGCATGGGCCCAGAAACACTTCTGAAAAACACTGTCTAGTAATAGTTTGTTGCTGCATCCACAATTGCAAATTAAAACTCTAAAATGCCAAGAAGAAACCATATATAAACAGGATCCAGAAATTCTGCCACCTTCTCTGGGCCCAAGCTCATTTAAAATGGACTGAGGGAGAAGTGGAAAAGTGTCCTGTGGTCCGACAAATCAACATTTGAAATTGTTTTTGGAAATTATGGACATTGTGTCATCCGGGCTAAAGACCACTCAGCTTGTTATCAGTGCACAGTTCAAAAGCCAGCATTCATGATGATATAGGGGTGCATTAGTTCACATGGCATGGGTGACGTGCACATCTGTGAAGGCACCATTAATGCTGAACGATATATACATGTTTTGGCAACATATGCTGCCATCCAGATGACAATTTTTTCAGGGAAGGTCTTGCTTATTTCAGCAAGACAATGTCAAACTACACTTTGTCTGTATTACAACAGCAATGCTCCGTATTAAAAGAATCTAAAAGAGTGCTAAACTGGCCTGCCTGCAGTCCAAATCACCCACTGAAAACAATTGGAGGGTTATGAAATGAAAAATACAACAAATGAGCCCCCGAACTGTTGAGCAGCTCAAATCCTATATCAAACAAGAACGAGAAACATTTCGCCTTCAAAACTACAACAATTGGTCTCCTCAGTTCCCAAACACTTGCAGAGTGTTGGTAAAAAAAAGAGGCGATAAAACACAGTGGTAAACATGCCCCATCCCGACTTTTTTGGAACATGTTGTTGGCATCAAATTCAAAATGGGCATATATTGAAATACAAAATTCTAAATAAACAATCAAATTTCTCAATTTCAACATTTGATATGTTGTCTTTGTTATATTTTCCTTTAAAAATATGGTTTAGATGATTTGCATATTATTGCATTGTATTTTTATTTACATTTTTGGAAATGGGGTTGTACTTGATTGTGTTTTGGTAGCAATAAATATTAAGGCTACACTCTGATTTTCAGATGTTGGGACACGTACTTTGAAACAATGAGATCTAACTGCTCACCATGTGGCAATGAGGGACAGGGATACAGTCTCATTTTCTGCTCTAAAATGTAGGGGTGTGGCTAAAATAAGGCTCCGCTTAAGGACTAAAACTCTTTTTGTTTCGGTATTGACATGAAAAAGGGAGCAGCACTTTTTAAATAAAAATTTTTTTAAATAAGAATTTAACTCATTGTAAATATAAATCTTTGAACTTTAAAAGAAATATATATATATATTTATATATAAAACAATTTAAAAATACTAAACTTTTCTCTTAAGTTGAAAAAAAGTTTGGAACAGACATCTCCCAATAAAAAGTACACTATAAATGACGATTTTGTATATTTTTAGCTTATTAGTATCTCATATAATGACTTCGGTCATTATATAGATCATAACATAATCCTTGTGAATTTGGTGTGTGTGTGTGTGTGTGTGTGTGTGTGTGTGTGTGTGTGTGTGTGTGTATGTGTGTGTGTATGCCACATTTTATGTTTTTCTCCTCACATTTTTCATTCAGCAAATAAACAGTAAGTGTGCCTTAAAATGTGTTCTCTGTAAAGGATGTATTAACCTATTTTCTCAAAAATCAACAAAACAAGTAATCAGGGGCGCACAATCTTAACTTTAGCATGTGACTGCATATAAAAAGACCTTGTTGACACTCCAATTTCCGGGACATGGACTGGATTGAGTTTAGCCTTGGACTAATTAACACTTCCAAGGGCATTTTACCACTGTACATTCTTTATAGTCTAGGCTTTGGCTTAATCTGAGAAACTGATCTTAAATGTCCTCTATTTGTTCTATTCAGGGCCTGTTGATCCTAGAATTTTTGTAAACAAAAATGCTGGACTAATGGTGATGAGATTTGACTTGTTTGGGTGAAGATTATGGCACATGTTGTTTTTTTGAATACTTTTTTCTTTCTTACGCATAATAAAAAGAACAAGAACAAAAAACCCCACGATTTGGGGCAGTACCCAAGACCGGGTAAAGACTAGTCCCAGACTTAAAGTCACAATTAATCATGATCAGCTCATTTTAGGCCTTTACAGTTTCCAATATGTGCCCAACTACTTATGTCGAGAACTGGATTAATACTCTTTGTCAATGAAAATGCTTCGTAGATCAAATAAGGATAGCTAGTCCTAGATAAGAGTCTGAATTAGGCTCTAATCTGCGAGCGATTAAGTGTGCATGCATTCACTGACGATTAATGTAAAAAAAGCACTTTGATCCAAAGCCTGATTATCATGAGCCACAGGAGCAGGCAGGGCTTACCTTGTGTATTTCCACAGATAATGAGCGATAACCATAGGAGGACGGCGAGGCTGCTGATGATGTGGAAGATGAAGGACGCCATGAACGATCACCTTTCTAGCAGATACAGTTGAAGCCAGGAGTGCCTAACGTGCAGGCAGAGAGAGCTTTAACGCACATCACCTGTCAGAAGTGTGTGGGAGAGAAAGTGCAGTTACAACTTTTGTTCCTTTGTCTCAGCTGTCATCTCCGTTTCTCTTTCACACTCTTATTTCTCCTTTACGACTTGGGTCTCTAACACACGGGGTGTGTGTTACCTCATCTCCTGTGTGTTGTGGTTAGACATGCAGTTAAGCTTAGCCTCAACTCAACAGCTCCATCACACGTCCCATTACTGAACAACAGCTTCTCTGAGTGGCAAACATTTAGTCTAAGATCAGTTCTCAGAGGAAGAGATTACAACTGGGCCTCAAAATAACAAAGGTTGGTTCTACCTTATCTGTGGTAAGACATACAAAATATTTAGATGTGTATATATATATATATATATATATATATATATATATATATATATATATATATATATATACATATACACGTACAATCTACAGTACTGTGGAAAAGTCAAGTACCACCCTTCATTTGTTTTCTTTCCAGTCAAAATAGCTATTAAGTAAAAGTAAAGTAAAGAAGAAACTACATATTTAACAGAACATATATACAACTAAATCTACTTTCACATTTCTCAGTATTTAGTGTGTACACTCTTTGCTAGTCTTACAGTTTCTATTCTTTTCAGGACTCTAACTGTTTCTAATTAAATCTGCAGGGATATTTTTTCACACCTCCAAAGTTCAGTCTTACAAGTTGGTTGCATTTCCTGCTTCTCACGATCCAAGTAATCCCAAACACATTCAGTGATGTTGAGGTCTGGACTTTTGGGGTGGTCAGTCCATTGTTCTGAGAACGCCAGCAGCTTCTTTGTTTGATTTGCAGATTTTCTTCTTTCTAGTCTATTTCCTTTTCTCAGTAAGAGCTTCTTGTCACCTACACATCCTTTCAGACTCCTCCACGGTGTCTTCTCACAGCGGGAAAACACCTGTTTTTTCAGATCAGCAAAATTGGATCTTGATTTTCTCCTCTCTCTCAAAGATGAGAGCTTATACTGTTTATCTAATAGTGACCATTGTGGTTAAGAGATTATTTTCTCTGTATCTTTTGAATAATTTTATATTTTTTATTTTAAAAACTATTTTTTTAACTTTCCTTTTTCATGCAAGTGAATCTTATATCTGATCTCCTATGAAATTTAATTGTACTTAACTGTACTAATTATGCAGAATTTTTGTTAAATTGTCGCACTGATGTTGATTTACATAAAGAAAGAATCTGTTCCGTAACATGTATGTGATTTGATAATATTTCTATATGGAAAGTACTACGCAAAGGTGAGAGAACATCCTTTTGTTTATTTAATTTCCAGTCAATGGAAATGCTTTATGTAACCCAACATCATTGTGAGTATAGATAATCCTATATTAGACAATTTAACAAACATTCTGCATAATTCAGTAACTGAAACAAAGTCATTCAGAATGTTTTGATGTGAAACGGTGCACTGTTGAGTGTTGTGTTATTACAGTGGTGGTGATTGGAAATTACATAGTACAAATACTGTCAGGCTGTGATCGATGTAAAAAATCGATCAGTGGCCAAACCAACCGGTACATGAGCAACATCAGCCAGTTATCGTTACAGGTATACAGAAATGGGCGAAGCTTCTGAATATGCCGGCCAAAGACCTTTGCGCATTGAAAACATAGAGCACAGCGACACCTGGTGGATTTCGGAAATTATAGCAGCCAAAATCTCGAAATGATGGAGGAAACACATGCACAACTTGTTGACTTGCATTGTTTCAGTGCCAAATGTGCACTGAAAGTGTGAAAACACTGGCGTTCATTTTGATCTCCTGATAATTTGTTCACTTATTACAGTTTAAGTGCTGTAAAAGAGCATACTATACGTTTTCTTTCTTTCTTTTCTTTCTTTCTTTCTTTCTTCTTTCTTTCTTTCTTTCTATTTATATAATTATGTATTTGTTTATTGAATGGCTGTGAACGTACTACAATAAAATGTGCGCAAATATACAGGGCGTCCCAAAAAATTGACATAATTTCGTAGTCTAATAACATAAAGAATTCTCCCTCAAATGATCTCAATTTTTAACAAAATGTGTAAAAACTAACCAAGTTTAATTGTTAATGTTTCTTTTCAGGTTGAAGGATGGCGTTCACCAGAAATGAAAAGGCATTTTGTGTGTTAGAATATGCTCGAGCGTGCATTTTCGAGAAAATTCAATAAAAATGCACCAACTGGAAAGCAGATTTGGACATGGCACAAATCTGGCCTAGGACATGCAGTTACGATCTCACTTCCGGTCTAAATTAAAAAAACCACGCCCCACCAATTGAGGGCGCTCTTCATAAAGCTGCCCGGGTAGGGTAATTAGGCACAGCTGTGTGGGTAAGAGTCGCTTTGGTTGTTGATGGGTTATGCTTCAGGAAGGCGTTAACGCTCACTGACTTGTTTATAAACACCTGTTTTGTGTCTTTGCAGATCTGGGACGTTACTCTGTTTCCGGCGTTACAATGGTGAGTTAACGCTGCACTACACTGGTGCCCTTCGCACCACTCTTTCTTTAACGCGTTACACTTGTGTTATGGCTGCTGTTGGTGTTACTCAAGGGTCGGCAACATGGCCAGAATTAGACCTTAAAATGACCCTCCTCTGTAGTAAAATAAAGCTTTGATAGTCATTTTAAAAGTAAATAGTCTTAACCGCTGCAGTTAATGTATTACGGCTTATTCGCGGACCTTTAACCCTGAAGACTGGTGCGCAGACTGCTGGTCTCCATAGCAACGCCGACAGCGGTCTTGCCGAGCTAGTAGCTAAAGAAAAGGCAAAGAGAGAGATTTCAGACGACCATCGACAGTTTGGAGACGAATGGACTTTTTGCATTTGTAAGCGTTTGTAAGCACTCAGCTGGTTTCCTAAAACGTCTAATGTGCAACGAGAAACTGTCAAAGTCATGACTCAAGTCAGTTTCCTATTCACCAGCCTCTTGTTCGAATTCTCCGCTCCACCTTAAATGGTGCAGCAGTTACAATCTGGGGCCTCGTAAAAAGTCGGAAAACTGAGAGACCTTTTATATAAAACTACTCCACCTTTGAGGAAAGGGTTTTTCTTTTCTGGAGATGCAAGAAAAACGGCAATAACTGAGGTAAAGCTTAAAGCAGAGCAATGTTAGTCTGCATTTTTCATATATCGTTATTTTTAGCCTCTATTAGCACATACTGAGACACATTTACAGCCATGATGGTAACATGTACATAAAATGTTGTGGTGCCCAAGGGTTGGTTAATTTTCTATTTCTTTATTTAAGAAAGGGCAAATGGCTCTTAATATTTACGTTGATGACCCCTGGTATAAGTTAACGGAAACATTCTGTTCAACAGAGGGAGTGTATCTCTGTACACATTGGCCAGGCTGGTGTCCAGATGGGTAACTCCTGCTGGGAGTTGTATTGTCTGGAGCATGGCATCCAGCCTGATGGGATGATCACTACTGGCAGCACCGCCCTGGCCGATTCCTCTTTTGGCACTTTCTTCAGTGAAACTGGAGCTGGAAAGTATGTTCCACGTGCTGTTTTCATAGACCTGGAGCCGACGGTTGTAGGTAAGGATTGAGCCATGTTATGTTTTAACCACTTTTTGGTCCAAATGACCTGTTCCATGTTTTCAGGGTTATAGTAGAGCCTCAACTGTGTATTAGAGTAGGCTATCATTTGGCGGTGCTTAATTTGTAACTGCGTATTCACAGACGAGATCCGCAATGGGCATTATAAGCAACTATACCATCCAGAACAGCTCATCAGTGGCAAAGAGGATGCTGCCAACAACTATGCTCGTGGCCACTACACCATTGGCAAAGAGATTGTGGACTCTGTACTTGACCGAATGCGCAAAATGGTGAGGTGTAGAGTGCTTTTTGCGCTGAATGGCAGTACATGTCTTAACGAGTTCCTAATGACTTTCTCCCTCTGTAGGCTGACCAGTGTACGGGTCTCCAGGGGTTCCTGATTTTCCACAGTTTTGGTGGTGGAACTGGGTCTGGTTTCACCTCCTTGTTGATGGAGCGTCTTTCTGTGGATTATGGTAAAAAGTCAAAGCTGGAGTTCTCGGTCTACCCTGCTCCCCAGGTTTCCACTGCGGTGGTAGAGCCCTACAACTCTATCTTGACCACTCACACCACACTTGAGCACTCTGACTGCTCCTTCATGGTTGACAATGAGGCCATTTTTGACATCTGTAAGCGCAATCTTGATATTGAGCGTCCCTCATACAACAACCTCAACAGACTTATTGCACAGATTGTGTCTTCGATCACCGCCTCTTTACGCTTTGATGGAGCTCTTAATGTGGATCTCACGGAGTTCCAGACCAACCTAGTACCATATCCTCGTATCCATTTCCCTCTGGTCACCTACTCCCCCATTATCTCTGCTGAAAAAGCCTACCATGAGCAACTGTCTGTAGCCGAGATCACCAATGCCTGTTTTGAGCCAGCCAATCAGATGGTGAAATGTGACCCTCGCCGTGGTAAATACATGGCTTGTTGCCTGCTGTACCGTGGTGATGTGGTGCCTAAGGACGTCAATGCTGCCATTGCCAGCATCAAGACTCGTCGCTCCATCCAATTTGTGGACTGGTGTCCTACAGGCTTCAAGGTGGGCATCAACTACCAGCCACCCACTGTAGTTCCTGGTGGCGATCTAGCCAAGGTCCAGAGGGCTGTGTGCATGCTGAGCAACACCACAGCCATTGCTGAAGCCTGGAGCCGTTTGGATCACAAGTTTGACTTGATGTATGCCAAGCGGGCCTTTGTGCACTGGTATGTGGGTGAGGGAATGGAAGAAGGAGAGTTCTCGGAGGCCAGAGAGGACATGGCTGCTTTGGAGAAGGATTATGAGGAGGTTGGAGCGGATTCTGCTGAGGATGCTGAAGAAGAGGAAGATGAGTACTAGTGTTTCTCACCTTGCACTGGAAGGTTTTTGTACAATGACTTCTTGTGTAAAATAAATCCTGCAGTATGTAAAATTGGTGTTCATTCTTTCCTTATGAATCAAATTCGGGGAGGGGTGGTAGCTTTAAAATGTAGGTTTAGGGTATTTATTTATTTTTTTTTATTTTTATTTATTTTTTAAAATCATTCTTTTCT